AGGCATATGCTTTTGTGGTTGGACAATTTGGATTTAGGTGCTATCGCCCGTTTTGTCCAATATGAGAATCATCCTGAACGTGAGTACAATCGGTCACGATTGAGGTCACGTCAGTCGATGTCAGAAGGCCATTATCTTCAAGGATGGTCTTTGATTGCACCTAAGGAAATCGATGATCGTGATCCTTGGAGTATCTTAGGCTATAGTACTCCAAAGTTGATTGTCGATGGAGATGGTGTTACCTCAAGGTCCTTGTTTATGGTTCACCCATTAGTTTTGAGCAAGGATCAGGCAAAACTGGTGAAGGCTGATGAGGAAGTGCTTCGTTTTGATCACATTTGGACGGACATCACTTCGAAGAGCTCAACAGCCAGGACTTCTGGAGAACCTCAACAAGATGAAGAAGATGACTCTGCTCATGTTGCTGAGCGTGAGATGACATGGTTCATTCAGAATGTCAACAACCTGGTTCTCAACCCATGGATGGTATATGACATTGGCATGGTATCACTCCATGATCGTGTAGGAACACGTGTACTCCAGAGCACTGGAGAAGACGTGATCCTTGTGAGGGATTGGGACAGGTTGACAAGGCACCAGAGAGAATATTTTTGGAGAAGATACAAGTTGCTACGTCCAAGTGTTTATGGAACAGAGGAAGACCCCAAGACGTATGCACCGAGTTTTGAACCCGGAATTTCTCAGTGGATGGAGTTGGCACAAACTGGATACCAACAGTTTTTCTTCATCCGTGCTTGGGAGAATGGACGCCGCTGGGCTGAAATTATGACAGACCATGGCATTGCTTCTTTAGAGCTTTCAAGCTTCTTGGATATGTGCAGAGATCCCAAATTGCTGGGTTGGAACTTTGGTATTCCAGAACCTCAGTGGGATAATTTTGGCAACACAGTGGAGGAAGCATTCAACAATCCTTTGTTTGCCAAATTGCACTATCGCTTCAAGCAGGAGGAAGAGATTGGTCGTGTCATGCACCTTGTGTCAGAACTTGTTTGTGACTTTTTCATCAAGGTGCTTCCCAAGTGGGTTCTTGACCATTCGATCTTGTGGGAAGAGTTTATGATCTTGGATCCAGACACAAATCTCCCAGCCTACAAGACTTCAGAGGCCGCCTTACAAGCAGAAAGGAATCCAGAGAAGTATCATACACATTTTGCTATGAACTTCAAGAAATTCCGTTTTTCTGCAAGGATTGTGTGGTATTTGATTGACCGTGACAGGAATCATTTAGAGAGTTTTCTTCACAACTCCAACAGTAGATTTGTGCAACATGCATGCTATCAACTTCGTGAGTATGTTCAGGCGCGTGTTGCAGTTTCTGATCCCTTGTATGAGATGATCAAGAAGGAAGAGTTTGAACGCCAATACAATTCCAAGTTTTTGGAGGCGATTTCTTGCTCTCGTGTTGTAGTTGAGCCTGTAAGTTCAGGGACGTATGAGCCATCATCGAAGCTGAACTTAAAGGTACTACAAGACATCCTGAAGGGTATCTTCAAGATCCAGAAGGATGAGGAGCTTGCCAAGGAACGTGATGAAGAAGAAGAACAGGCAGCTCAAAACATCTCATACCTGTTGGCAGATGATATGGAGCTTGATTTTGATGATGATGATGTTCCAGTATGGCGCTCCATTGTCGACAAGTATAGAGGAGGTGATCAGGTGCTACAGGGAGAAGCTGTGAAGATTACTCACCTGTTCAGGGATCAAAAGGACAATGAGAAGGCGACAGAAGCTTTCAGTTCAGAGAGGACAGATTTTTATGAGACCTCAGGACCTCTTCCAAGAACCGAGGGAGAAAATCTTGTAGAGGACTTGCTCACCAAGGATGTTGCAGAACAAGCTTTTGAAGCAGGTGAAGAAGTTCCTCCTTATACAAGAGTCTCCACTATCACTGGTGAAGTCTATACTGGAAGTAGAACACTTCTAGAAGATGAGAATATGGAAGAGGAAGTTCCTGAAGAAGATCCTGCAGTTGAACCTGGAAAGGAACAAGAAATTTGATGAAGATGCAGGTGTTTTTCCTTCAGAGGAACTAAAGATGGAAGTGGACCAGGAGGAAGCCAAGGAAGAGTCAACACCACACTTTCTGTCAAGAGAGATAGGTGAGGACTCGACTGCATCGCACTTACCATCAGGTGAGATGGATGCTAACCTTGATGATACTTCAGGTCAGCGGAAATCTAAGAAGAGCCGCCTGAATAAGATTCCTGATCCTCATTTTCATGAAGAAGTTCAGGATGATGCAACCATGGAAGAGAAGAAAGAGGCGGTGGAGAAAATAAAAGAGGTCAGAGAGGATGATGGAGAGAAGAAATTGGAGGCTGAAATCCAAGAATCTTTTCCATCTGAAGTAGTTGTTGAAAAGGATACAACAAAAGTTGACAATACCTATGAGTTGCACACTTCACCTTTAAAGTTGCTTGGAGAGCTTACAGGAGATCCAGGTATTGGCTTTTATCAACTATGCTTCAGGGAAACTCATGCAAGATTGCTGAATCATGTTTGTTTCAGAAAAGGTGAGATTTCCCATCCTCATTATCAGTCAAGGATCAACGAGAATGATTTTGTTCGATCCATTCGCAATATCTGTCCAGTACCTCCACCTGATTGTTATGAACATGAACCAGAGCATGATTTGAAGAGATTCTTCATCAATGATGACCGCATCATTTATTTGGATGGCAGGTATCAGGTCGATCCAAAGGCCCTTGAAAGGGCAGGTCATGCTCGAGAAGAATTGGAGGATACGAAAAAGGAACTCAAGAAGGAACTGGAATCATATGGTCCCAAGGGACCCAGTTGGGACTTTGTCACCTTCTATGAAGAGCTGTGCAGAAGGTTCCTCAAGGGAAGAATAGAAGAACCATATGGAACTAATTTATTGGCCAGCTCAGAGTCCTTGACATTTTTATCCTGGAACTATGGCAACATGGTTCGTGGTCAGAAGTACACCACACCAAGGTTTCTCCAAGGACTTGATAGTGCAATGAGGCCACGCAAACAGAGCGCCATGTCACTTCAGAATGAGCAATTTGAGAACAACCTTTTCTTCAACATGCTCTTCTTTTTACGTGCACATGTCGTGATTCTCCAGGAAGCTCATCTTCTTGTTCCTGCCAAGGAATTTATTGAGCAAAAGAATTGGACAGTTTGTTTCAATGATTGGGAGAATCTTGCAGTGATGGCTAGATTGGCACCAGGTGGATATGTCAAGATCATTGCTGGACATGATCAAGAACTTGGTCACTGTGAACAGCGTGATGTAACTTGGGCTATCTACGAGATTTGTTTTGGAGAAACAAGGCCTGAGCCTACCTGTACAGGGTTCCACTCAACAGCTGATATAGTGTGTCCATGCTTGACTGCTTCAAGGCTCAAAGAGCAAGAGGATAAGACTCTGCGCATAAAAGACACTAGCGGTCTGCACCTCTACCGTGTACGCCCTAGTCACTCTTTCACCCCCCGCCCCCTTGGAATTGATTTTTCAATACAGACCCCCCCCCCCTCCCCCCCTCTAAAATCAATTCTCTCCTGGAGATCGTCTTCGTGAGCCTCTCATGATTTCAGGATAGGTGAAACCCTTTTGAACATTCAGAAAGAGTGAATATGAAATTCTAATCACGAAAGGTGTTCCCCGAGGGGATACATACCTAGAGTTTGTTTTGTGAAGCACGTCAATTCTCTCCTGGGGAGCGTCTTCGTGAGCCTCTTATGGTTTCAGGATAGTTCAAATCCTATGATGTTCCGATTCAATGCTCACCGATGATCTGAGCCATGGGGCAAGTTTGTTTTCCTAAGAATCTTTTTGAACATTTCGAGAGCACATGTTTGAACATTTAGAGTGCGTATGAAATTATTTTTACGAAAGGTCGCCTCCGAGGGGATAAATCACCATGTCGAACATTGCATTTTTGTTCCTGCCTCTCGCGTTCTCTTCTCTTCCCGCTGTCCTACCTTTCGTGTCTCCCTCCTCTCAAGTTACTAAAACCCCTTTGGTTCCCATCCACCGCCGCCAGGAGCCGTATTTGTGGTGCTTGAACGACGGCTTTGGTATTACCATGGAGTGCCAATCAGGTGACCCCAGGGGTAGCGTTGGTCCTGCGGTGTTGCCAAACGGGCCGGCACGGGCCAACGGCTTTGGACCTTCACTATACCTTCCTACAAGCAAACATCCATGTGCCATGTTTACATAGTATTTGTTCTTTTTGCTTAGCCGGCCCGCTCCTACTTAAAAAGGGGGCGGCGCATACTCAATTAAGGGAGTAAGCTCCGACTCCTAGCTACTTTAGCTACATATGGACGTGGGATAGCTCACGCATCCTTGAAGTGCTCGCACTAATGATTTGCTTTCTAGATTGATTGTTCTGTTTTCGATACTTAACTTACCCCCAGAGTTCCAGAAGCCAAGGCTGGCTGAGTTGCCGATTGGCTCCGTGCATCATCCCTATGTTGAAGAGACAGAAGGGATGACATTGGTCATATAGGGCAGCGATTCAATGTGTAGGGCCTCCAACCCTTGACCCAATACATTCTATGTGTAGGTCCTATTGTCATAGGTTGGACTCGGTTGGACATTAGTCAAGGGCGGTGTCACGTGCAACTTCTCAATTCTTCCGTGGCTGTCCTTCCAACCGTGGCCTGTCGTAGGCCAAGACCGCCTGGGTGTTTACTCCGTGTGTGTCTTGGCACTCCGCGGGCACGAGTCACGTCAGTGTCCAGAGGGAGAGGGTACTTTAGCCAAAGACTCGCCACATGCAATGCATTCATGCATCCTAAGAAACTCTTTAGATAACCCCGTTTGCAGCAACTGGTTAGATGTTTGGTTTGCTGCCAGTTCTTTGGCTACAAACAAGTCAAAAAAACTATTCATATTACGTACCTGATGTGGCAATACGGCAATACCCCAAAATGGACACTCTTAGGCTTTCACTCGAAGCAAATGGAAGCCAGTTGCCTTTATCGCCTTTATTCTCCAAGTTTTGATGATCCTAGCGCTTCCGCCATCGGCCACCAGCCACCGCATCTCAACACCGCATCTTCCGTTGAAGTTGCAAGGTGCGATGAAAGATACGGTGCCAAGACATGTGCATGTGGGGGGATGCTTGGGTCTTTTTCTTTGGTGCCTATATTCGGAACAGTCATGTGCCTGCCTCCTGTTGGAAGAAAAAGGTTCGAAACTGTGGGGAAGAACCTGGCCATGCTGGATTCATCCTCCGCAGTCGCATCCACCACATGGCCCTGTAGTCACCACTTCCAACCACCACGTTAAGTGAAAACAAACGGAATTTAAGCAGATCGGTTCTGATCCATCCGGCGCTTCACTGTTTTCCTCCAATGCCCAGTTTGCACATGGCCTTTAAAGACCCCCCCAAATAGATTAGATCCCTAGATCCCACTATTGGAAACCGTGCCACCGCCCTCTATTTGGGGATCACTGGGATCACTCTATTTTGTTTGGGAGACCTAGAGCAGCGCCATTCGCGATGGCCCTGAGGTGCCTTCTTGGCCATGGCCCTCTACTGGATCCTCCTCTCAGACCTGGCCATCTTCTCCATGCGGATCTCGGCCTTCGTGCCTCGGACCGATCACCGCAGCCATCGGAGAGTCCGTATAGAACTGCCGGTCGCACACCACTCTCTACCACCTGAGGTACGTAAGCACGCCACTCTCTCTCTCTCTCTCTCTCTCTTTCAGTTGGGACGGAAGTGACTGTGCAAATTGTGCAAATTGTCCATCTCATGTGGTTCCAAGTGTGTCCACAACTCCTAACTCAGTTAGCGGGCAGTATATTTATTGCTGTATTCAGGCAGATGTTTGTATATGACATTTATATATATATATATTACTGTATTCCTTCTCTATTAGGAAAGAAAAAAGACACTGGCCCCAGTCTTTGGCCGCACCCCTGACTTTATCAATCTCCTTTCTACAAGACATATTATCAGAATAATAACCATGTGATAACATGCGTATATAACCGTAACTGTTTTGAATGGCGGAGAGATGAAGCCCCAGGCGCTAGGTTCTTTGTTGAGGTTAGTCGGTTGGGTTAGTCGGTTGGTCCAATAGAGCTTGGGTCAATGATGAAGCCCTAGGACTCCAAGCACCTTCTTACCAGGTGTTTGGGAAGGGTTTAGAGGGTCCAAGTACCTTCTTACAAGGTACGACTGGAGCCTAGGGAAGTACTATGTCGCCAGGGTCACTCCCCCAATTACACATGACCACTAAATCCGGGTTCGCTTCGTGCCGAGTCGGCGGTTCGCTCCGCCACACTGCAGGTCCTGGTTTGCGGACGGGTCGTGGTAGAAGTGGGACTATTCCTCACCGCGCTCCTTCTGTTGATTTTGGCCTTTTGCTCCTTGGACCGGTCCCGATGTCGAAGAAACCCCTTGAACCTTGAAGCGTCGGTCCTTCGAAGCACCTGTTAAAGAAAAAGCTCCCAGAACATGAGAGCTAGTCTGAATTTCAGTTCAGTTCAGTAGCTGATGGATAAGCACGGAGCTCGTTGATTGGGACATGTTGCACCAAGGGTGAGCGGATTGAGATATATGATATCATGAGGTATCCCATGCCGGTTTACCCAACAGAAAGTCAAGTGACAACTTGGCGTCATGGATCAGCAGTTTTCATGGGTGCTGGAGCAGGCATTCGCGAGAGATGGTTCTACATGAGAGATTTTGCGGATGACCGCTTGCTGTGTCGTCAGGATGCTCGCCGTCGGGTTAAAATTCTGTGGGCCGCGGCCGTCTCATCCCCAACAGAGGACTCCTGAAATCATCTGAAATCGCCAATCAGCACACACCTGAAATCGCCAAGCTGCAATGCGAACGGACGAATCCCACGGGTCTCGAAGGTCGAATCCACTGAGTCTCCAATCCACAAAGAGTCTCGACTTTTTGCCCCAAAATCCAGCGGCGTGGTGCCTAGGCACGGCCATCAGCACTTTGTACTACGAGATGCCCATCAAAGAGGGTGCCCACGTGTGGCTCGAGGAGCGTCGACATGCCGCCCCAAGGCCAAGCGCCTTGGAGTTAGGCCCTCTAAACCACCGTTATTTGTGTTCTGAACGTATTAAACAGCGTTCCTTTCGCATAGCAGTGGCCACTTACATAATGGTTCTTGGGATTGGCGGTGTGGTTTTGCCAAGAGGGTTTGAAGAGACATGCAAAGCAACTCCCAAGGACTCCCCGATCACCCTTCGTATGTTTGGCCCTTCATTTCGGATAGAAGCGGTGAGCCCCCCAACACGTGCAAAGGTGATGGAACGGGACAGGGAGGTACCGGGAGGTATGTTGCTGTAGAGCTTTTGCTGGAAGGATTCTCCTGAGCAGCTTAGCTTAGGATTTTGGACTGTTAGAATATACCATTGTCCAATTATATGCATCCAACTTTGGGATGCAATTGCTATTTCATGCAGTTTGTTTTGCACGTTCCATAGTCTATTTGCCATGGGATGTTCAATCTTTGCAGGTCTATACTTGAGACGCATGTATATTGTACATGTAGTAGTACATGTATACATGTACAGTACACCTTACACCCAACAAGGAATCAGCCGTTCTTTTCGCGCCAGGAGCTCACCCGAATGGCCTTAGGAATGCCGGGAGGACCCAGAAGCCTGGGGGGGTTAAGGTATGCGGAAACCTCACAGAGGAAGGAACCACCTGGTTTCGGGGTGGTTTTTGGGGTTTCAGTTTCGACCTGGTGCTGTTGAAGTCGCACGAAAAGAATGGCCGGGCGCATTCTGGACTCGCTATTGATGCTATGGGTTGGGTGCTGGCCGGATTGTACATAGTGGGACCACTTGAGCAGAAGAACTGAAGACGGCCACCGGTTTAGGTGCACAAACATGGGAGGCTCTTCAGTCTGGAGAGCTTTGGATTTTAACATGGTTTAAGCCTCCAATCAGACACATAGACCCCGAAAAACGTGCTAGACTCTGCTAGACTTGAAGAGCCTCGCCTCACACGTATGACATGCCTCATGGGAAGTACCTGACCTTTTAGAAGACAACGTTTTTTTTGAGTAGGCTGTGACTGTGAAAGGGTCTCTCTGACTGTGTTGAGCCTTGGATGTCTTGATATATTTTGATGTCCTTGATCTTCTTAGAAGCTTTGGACCTGAACTGTGCTTTCACACGGGGCATTGGAGCATTACTCCAGTAGTGTTTTGCGACGATTTTTGCCTGTACATTTGCACGATCCTCAGGTACTCACCCGAGGCCTACATGCTCATAGTGGACACCTCTGTGATCGCCCCTCGGATGGAACGGTTTTGGTTAGGACCTGCTAACCTGCACAGAGTGCAGGTCCTGGAGGATCACACTTCAGATACTTCAGGATCTACATGCTCTTTGTTTTTGTCGAGGCGTATCAGTAAACATGTCATTGGGTGGTGAAGTCATTTTTTTTCGACCCATGTGACCCATGTGAATGAGCTGCATGATGCGTGAGCTGCCAAACCCTGCCTGCGTTGTTAGTTAAATCGTGTGACGACAAGTCAGGGCACGCGCAATAGAACAGGTGGAATTTCTAGACCGTAGCAATCATTCCCTTTCTTGTTGCGCATCTATGCTTCTTTCGGTGTGTTGGATAACTAAAATGATACTACATACATGGCAACAAGTCTCCCTTTAAGAATTGGTCACCTGCAGGGATCGGTCCTGACATGTGGTTCTTCCTTGACTGGAACGTGGATCGCAATAGATCGCGCTAAACTGGCTGGAGTTCGCTCGTTCGCTCCGTAAGCGGTCAGGTGACGGTCCCCGTATGCATCTTCTTGTTCATCGTGGGCATTTGCCTCACGAACTTGCTCGTGGCCCAGTCTCTTGGCTCCCGGTCTAAGTGGAAGATGGAAGATGCTTTTCCCTCACACGAACACTCAGTTACACTGGTGGTCGCCTTAGTTGGGGCGTTCTAGAGGGTGGTACATCACAGCACTTCACCAGGTGCTCCAAAGGTCCAGAAAGGTCAAGAAAGGTCAAGGACCCAAAGGCAGATCATGTTAGGAATTGCAGTGCTGCAGTGCACAACTTTGAAATCATCATTCTATTGTCAATGGCATGTGTCATATGGGAAATCCGCAATCATTAAGCTGTGCAGCATAGGCTATAGATCCCCTAAGTTTGCCGAACCAACGAAGAGCACCAGCTCCCATTCGACGAGGCTCTCCCAGTCCTATCACGACGCGTATTCCAACATGCAGGGCTATGCGCGCTTGAACCGCGCCAGCATCACTAACACCACGGTGCAGGCCGGGGTGACTTGAAGAGACGATCTCATGTTTGCTGGACCTTGACAGGAGCTAGCACCCATGTGGCCCAGCCACTTGTTCTAAGCCAAGTGCCGCCTTTTCATGCCCGTCATGCCGATCCTTCACGCCCCGCCCTTCTTCACGGAGATCGCTCGCGCAGGGGATCTCCGCGAAGCGTTGGCAGAAGTTCCTCACGTCACTGAAGCTCGACGACCCCTTGGAGTTCAACGAGGGCGACGTGGGCCTATCAGGTGCCATCTGGGGCGTCGTTCTGGGGTGGAGCCAGGAGCGTTTGGGAGAAAAGGCCCCCCCTGGTGGCATGTTGCGACCTGTGTCTTGAGTAGATCGAACAGATTGAGTGATTGCAGGACAAATCCGACCAAGCATGTGTGTAGTGCATTGTAGTGCACGGTTTAAGCTGCGTATGTGGTTTATAACATATTTTTATAACATATCGTTATAAGTTATAACCCTTGGCCACGACAATCACGAAGTCATTACGTCTAATCCAGCAGTCCGCCCTCATTTGTTTGCCGGTCAGGTGGACTGCAAGTCCTTGAGCCGGCCAACGCGCACATCGTCACGGAGGTCGCCAAAAGGGGCTGAAAAAGACCACCCCAAAAAAGAACGTCGATGGGGTGGAAATTTTTATATAGGAAGGCTGCTGAAGTTTGACAGGTCCACCTTGAGTTCAACCCTTCATGTCGATCTTCATCCCTGCTCCATGACTCCCCGTGGTTCACCCGTTCACCCCTCCCCATCTCCAGGACACCATCAAGCGCTTTGGCGGCTCCACCGCGCCGTCGGCGCCGTGGCCGAAGGACGCCACGACGGAGGAGGAGGAGCAAGACAAGCTGCCACTTGGAGCAACTGACGAAGTGGTTTCCTATAGGGACATGTAGGGACTGAGGGAATGGATCCTGGGGGTTGGACGAAGTGGTGGCACTTATTCTTATGATTTGGCACTGAGTTATTGGGCAATAGGGTCCCTGGTGTTGGGAGCCGGAGTAGTAGTAGGAGGAGGAGTAGGAGGGGCAGTAGTTGTTGTCGTCAATGTGATGAGAGTGATGAGATGTTTGTTTTTTATTATATAGTGAATTTTGTCAATTCTGCAACTGCATGAGAGTGAAAGGCAGGCATCAAGATTTCTGCTGATAGCTGACAAGGACCAGCAGCTGCTGATCTCCCCTGTTGGTATTTCTTTGGTTGGACCTCCGTCACAATCACTACAGATGACCAAGCAATGAAGTTGACTGAAGGTACACTGGAATCATGGAAGTGGAAAAATGGTCCCCAAAGGATGACCATTGTGCTCTACAAATAGGTGGTGCCATCCACGAAGCCGTGATGATTCCAGTGTATCTTGGGAATTTGCCGTCCTTTTTGCAAGGTCAGCAGTCGAATGCTTTTGGTGTTGGTCGATGCTCCGGCTTTGCCAGTTCGCACGTGCCCGGTCGCGCCAGGTGGCTCCTGGAACAAAAGCTGCAGAACATCATCAAATCACAAAAGAAAGGCCCTGCATCAAGCGATGATGCCGGCGGACCGTGACGGACCGTGCATACGTAGGCAACAAACAGCCTGATAGGTGGGCAACAAGCTGCAGTACTCCGTGAAATCCATGAAGCCATTTGTTCAGTGAAACTTGGGTCTAGAAAGACAACCATTTCTTTGGGTCGTGCATTACATGGCCCTAATCCATGTCATTGATGCGATAAGTGGCTTTCGAAAGGCGAGCTGAGTCTTTTGTGGTCAACGAAGGTCGACGAGGGACCGTGTTGTTTATTCTTCACAAATGTTGCTGGGTATAGAGCACCGCGGACAATCTGTGCTTACCACCCAGATTGTCCGCGATGTTTCAATGTTCACTGTTTTTGGGCAACTGTTTGGTTCAAAGCAAGTTCATCCTGTTAGCTGATCCTCATGACTTCATTTCCCACCGGGTCCCAACAGACCGTTTTCACCACTCGGTCACCGTTCACCACGCGGCCAGGCCGAAAGAAAGGCCAAAGCTCTGAGGGCTCCATGGCCAGTGGATATGGCAGTGGTGTAAGCTGCTCGATTGGCAAGCTGGGGTTGGGTGGAGTTCAATCTACAGTGGCACAAATGACCAAAAGGTATGTTATGGTATGTTCATAAGGACCCCCAACTAAAAGACATTTTGGCGTGCCAGAGCTATCTACTCTGAAACCAGTGTAACATGATCATACATGATCCAACATGTAGGTCACAGCTGAACGGAGAGCCCAAGAGCTGAACGGAGAGCCCGGACTGCAAGCCACGCGCCCTTGCAAACATGCACTGGACTTATGGCCTAACACCTCCCAGTTTGCTGTATGAACCCCTCTACAAGCAAACTGTTTCCAGTGAGCCTTTGGCCCGAGGTAGCGGCCCGAGCAGTGCCTCCTCCACCTGAGAGCCGGATGTGCTCAAAGATCTCGTTTAGAGACCCAACGGAACGAACACACCCCGGTGCATTCGACCCCGCCTGCTCCCTTTTTGGGGATTCAGCGGCAGGGGCACAACTGAGTTACTGGACAACATATGACTTACATATACATTTTGTTGTTTTGTTTCTGGCATTCCTTGCCACAAGCAAAGAAGTCAAATCATGTCAATTTAATTACCTCGTAGCTCAGCACTTTGGGCATTCTGCCGCCTCCTCGGGCTTTCTCAGAGCACCTTGGCACTTGGAGATGTCCATGCTGCGGTGCAAGGGCAGGTTGGATGCGAGCATGCAAGCATGCCACACTCGTGACAGACCAATAAAGAATGCTCCAAAAGTCTCCAGAATCTTTGGTTGTAGAGAGTCTTTGTGGGAGACGTTGAAACATGTTGAACTCACGTTCGGCTCAAGGGCACCATGTCATTGAACGTCTTTGGTCCCAAACAGACGGATTCTTGTGTAAAATGGAGCTTGCAGTGGAGCCTGCGGATTGTTCCGTGTTTTTGTTCCATGGTTCGATGTTATCTATGATGTACATGATTTATACTCTACTATGTTACCTTTGAGTTTCCTCTCAGCATGCTGATTTGTATCATGGAATTCTACGACATTCCTGTTTGATTGAGAGTTGGGGGAGTCAGGATTCCTGCCTAGGCAAAGGGAAATGGTTTGGAATGGATGCAGAAATTGACCGTATCCGTATCCACAACCCCTCACCCTTTGAGCCAGCTTATTGTTTTCGACATGCGGAATTTTACACACAACACATGCATATATGCATTGTACATGTATGTAGTCACAAGGGCCTCACCTGAGCTCTTTGCTGCTAGAGCTTTGGCTCTTCACCACGAACGGCGAAAACGAACATGCCACGAGCGTTGCTGCCGACGGCTTTTCTGCACGAGCTTAGACTGTGAAGCCGAAGGCACATCTAAGACGGTAGGAGGTTTGGTGGCTGAGGGCCGCCAGGTGAGGGCCACACCTGCGGAGTGAACGACAAGAGCCTGCAAGGCGCGCGTTTGCGAGGAGTGTTCACGCACGCGTTTGCACGACTACCGATTAGCATGCTTAACACTGAGGACAATGGGATATCACAAGAGTCCTTTCTTGGTTCACGACCCTCACAGAAAGGACTATTTGACTATTTCTCTCCATCGAGTCAAAATCCCCTACAGCACTTGACTTAGAAGATGAATGACCATTAACAAACGGAATGTTGAACTGAGTTGCATCATATCCGGACGAGACGCCATATTTGGCATGTAGAGTCATATGATGTGGGCGATTCGCCTCCTGTTGAGACGCGCTCCGCAGCCGTGGCCCAACACCGTGGCTTGCAACGAGATGAGCGCAGATGAGCCCCAAGAATGAATGCGGAAGAGGAGCGTCGAAGAGATCAACATAGATTAACCATGATCAACCTACTGATGGATTAAAGAAGATTGCAAAGCAAACACTTCTCATGTGAACCAGGTTTGGAGATTCTTTCAAAATTCCAAACGAGCTTTGTTTCCCAATCGGAATTGCCTTAAGAGTCTTGGAAGCAGTGCTTGTTGGAGGCGTGGAGGCGGGGAAGCTGCAAAGGGATACCATCACCGCGCGCAGTGCCGGCGCATGTCTCCATGGTCGTGTTATAAGAGCAATGGTCATGGATGGTCCATGGTGAAATAGTCACCATGGTTTCATGATCAAAGTGTATCAAAGTCCCATTGTTGGTCAAATTTGGTGCTGCTTGAATTGGTGTTGCTTTGGTTCTAGGATGTTCTAGGTGCCAAGCCTCCCCCACCACGAAGGGTGTACCGGTGTACTGGTGTTTCTAAGTCATAAAAAGGTAGGAGAGACTGATACCTCCTGAAGAAACATGCAGAAACAAGGATTTGACTTGATATGAACTGCTAGAAGTGGTGGCCCACCCTGAGCAGAATCTGTCAATAAAATGGTGTATGTTGAAAGTCGACACGAAGCAATGCAACATCTCTACTAATAAGTATACTGTATACTCTACTATGTCACTATGTGTTGTTGCTTCGTGAGCAATTCATGAACCATGTTTGAGTAGCGTGAGCTCGGAGGGCTCGTGTGGCTCCTAGAGATGGCTCCCAGAGATGGAATGGTGGCCCGTGTCACATGTCTCACTGTTTCGATGCCACAAGGGAATCTGAGGGCTTTGTCACCCTCAGGCCTCTTTGTTTCTCCTTTTGACTCTGTCCCTGCCTTTGCCCTACCTAAGACTGTAAGCATGGTCCGTGGTGACGAACCACGGCGACACCAAGCGTGGTGACACTGCTGCTTAGAAGGTCAGCAGCACCCTTTCAAAGACACATAAAGAGTAGCCAGAATAGCAATTTCATGGCGTGCCTCTACTATCAGTTTACCAAAACAACTCTGTGGGAAGTGCGTGATGTTCAACAGTAAGTTCCAAAAAAGTTTGGAACCCTTATGGTGCCGAGGTGTTTTAAGTCCTTTGTGACATCCGTCCGCGTGGATCCACATAGGTTCGCCGGACCGAGGGGAAACCTCAAGCAGGTTGCCTCCGTGCCCTTAAGGGGCAAAGAGATAGGACTGCCACAGCTGTGGGTTTCAGGCTTCCCCTCCAGCTGCAGTAGATCTGAGATTCATTAGTTGGGCGTTTTACAGAAGGTCTTCAAAGGCATGCACACAAACCGCGTCAAAGAATGTTCTTACAGAACACACATTAGTTATCATTAGTTCATACAGATCGTCATCGCGGCGACGAGTTGCGCAACTTCATAAGCATCGTATCCCACAGCTGTGCCCAGAGCATCCATCCAATTCGCCAGCGGCGCTTGCGGCTTGTGCTAGGGGTGGTTTTGCCCACCAGCCAGAGTGCCCATCACAGTTGAGAAACTTTGTAGAGATAAATGAGATAAAGTATATTCACTCCGAACTAACATGGAAGTGGAACATACGCCCCTGGAAGACCATTTCCACAGGGGGGTCCTGGTCAGCTTCCATGATTGTTGGATAGAGATACGCAATGATCCTGAGGTCCTGTCTCTCCGCCTCACTTCACATCATCGCTGCCAAATATGGACTATATAGAGGCCCTAGGCTTTGCACCAAGAGTTCGGCTTTGGGCAAATGACTTTCTAAAGCCCGACCGACCAGTTCTGAATCATTGCCGTGCGCAAGGAGGAACACTATGATTTTAGCAGCTGCATGGGAGTGTTTTTCCACATGAAGAAGCACCCCTACTGGTTGATTCTTTTCGTGAGAAAAACATGCCAAAAAAAAGGGACGAAGAAGCGCCCGAAGACGCGGTCGCTTGGCTTACAATGGCTTGATACCGGTCGACCCAGACCCGAGCAGTTCCAGGGTTCCCGGTGTGTGGGTCATTGCCCTAAGGCTCCTGGCCTACCTCCTGAGGGTATGGTTTGGGTGGGTTTGGGGGGTCCAACCTCCTTCTAAGGATATGGTTGTTGGAGCCCTAGGGCTGGGTCGATCAAACATGTTTTTCTCGGTGGCTGTGGCCACGATTTGGTCCAGCCTTTCTTGGGAGATCTTGCTGGTGAAGCACTGCCAGCCCTCGGAGGTAGGGGGTCTACCAACCACTGCTTGAAGTGATGATGTAGTATTACTTTTTATTATTATACCAAACTACCAAGTAGTTCTGTTCCAAATACTTCAAGTGTGTCTACCATCAGGAAACGGAACACATTGTTTTGAATGATATCCATTGATATCCATTCCCCGTTCCTTTAACATGTTGTTTCTGAGTCTCGGTGTTTGCTTTGACCAGAAGTAGCTTGACTGTAGGCTCCGCCAGATTTTTCAGGTCAACCAGCTTCTAGATATGTTGCTGTGTGCTAATCGACTGTGTATAATGTGGATGCAGAATGCATGTATATACCGCACACTATGATTGACATCGGGCCATGGATTGCTTGGTCACCTATGGGCAAAAATAAGAGCCATCCCGGCCCGCACATCATATGTGAGCATGGCCTCCTTGCGTGGCAAAAAGGAAAAGATGCGTTGCTCAAGGGGCATGGATTCGAGCCACCCAGCCGTGTTCAATTCTCGCAGGTGATGCGTTGCTCCACCTGTTCTTGTTCTTGCCGTCGTCATGGTTGACATTTGAATCTTACAACTATATGTTCAGATTCAGTGATGGCCACCACGATCAATATTGCTTCTTGCACTGGTCTTTGTCTCGTCTTCCGGTTCAGATGCGAAACCTTTTTAACCGTAAGGCAACGTTGATATCAACTAGCACGAAACATGCAATCCCTCCAAAAAAGCAGAGGACATTTGGCCACATCCTGAGCAGAAGGCCCTACATGCATCCTACATGAGTCTTTCCTTTTCGACACCTCACGGAACCTCCGAGAACTGCCGGTCTTGCGAACGCGTTCGGTCGCGCACATCGCACATGTTGAGGCGCAGACCACGCAACGCATGGATCAGTTCTTCCAGTGAGCGGTTTCACGGATCATCTGGTGTCCAGGGGGGACGACCATGTCCAGTTTCAGGGAAGGACCTGGACCGTGTTGCGTGTCAGAAAGCGGGTTGATGAATTCCTCAAGCTGCGGTACTTGGGAATCGTTCAGAGATGTGAAGGAGCCATATGAGACGCTATGATATGATACATATTGTTCAGAGATGTGAAGTTGGAAATTCTTCAGAACCGTCGCTTAGAATTCCTTCCATGAGACCTCAGAATTGTGCCCTTAGGTTACAGCTGGGAGGTCCATAATATGAAAGACATGTCGAGACCCCTGCCATGGCTGATCATCTAAGTGCTAAGTGTCACCCAGGATTGGTTTCCTGCAGTGCTCCAGAGGACATTGCAAAATCAACGTTTGCACGCCGCGTTTGCATCTCCAGCATCCTCGTGTGCTGAAAAAAAATGACCAGGGCTGTTGAACATGTTGAACTCTTCAGCTTGGTCTTCAGAGATCTTCAGACATGTCACTTGAAGTCCCTGTCCCTCGCAGTCGCCAGTGGCATGAGGCCGCCGTGAGGCCACCGGTTGGTTTCCCCAACATCACGTGACTCCACGGGGTGACGCAGAGGAAGCTGGTTGAAGCTCAGCTGATCACCTGTACAGCTCAATGGATTCAACTGGTTCTATTCGATCTGGAATTCCCACATGCGTTCCCTGTAGTATGTACTCTCTTGAAAAGAGTTCTGAGATGGTTTGTGTTTGAGGCCTTTGGGCTCGAGCTGCTTGTCATTGAGGGACGCCAGCACATAATATTAACAACATGACCGCCCTTGGAAGAGTGCAAAGATTTATATACAGTACGACTATTGGTGGCAGAACAAGGGTTGCAGGCTTGTTAGAGGGTGTGTGTGTGTTTTTTTGGTTTTGATGCCATCAAAAAGTATGTGCATGGAGGCATTGGGTTTGGCACATGTCTGTGAAAAAGTTCCAGCATCGATTCCCTATGAAGTTCCACAAGGACATTAATTTGACATGATTTGGCACTAAGGTTTTAGCAAGTGTTGTGGAGGGCAGTGTTCGAAGGGAAAGGATTTGGTATTTGTGGTTCCTACGGGTTCCAAAAGCAGAAAGCTCGATCTCTTTGCATGGACTTGCCAGGAAGGGCCTCCTTCCACCACAAAGTTCCATGTCCTTCCAGAATGTTTTTGGAAAAGGAACGGCAGAAATCCATCGCGCTAGACGAACACATCAGAAGTTGTACAGAAGTCAAACAACGCTGGTTCTAGATTTTCTGGACAAAACAAGGGCTTCCCTGCGGCCGTGCTAGGTACTTCATCCCACTTCCATTTTAGCATGAGGAAACCCTATCTTTTTTGGCATTGCACTTGGGGCAATGGGGTTCTCAAGCACAAAGAAGCAGGGGTTGCATGGTGGCCCTTCTTTGCAGTAAACAGATGTAAAAAGCTTGTAATCATCCCTAAGGAGTCCTGAGGAGCATGTAGAACGTTGCAGAAACCATACTCCACCACGTGCCGAGCGCCTTAGCCATGGCACCCTGGATACGAGGCCTTCTTCGCGAAGTTGTGAGGGACCCAACCTTTGTCATATTTCTTCCAACCAGCCGTTGGTTCAAACAAGAGCTCCCACCAGTCAGCGACATTCCTTTAACCCCAAAATTCAGATTCAGCTTGCACCAGAGTTTGAAGGAAAGCTCGTGAACATAGTTTCTAGGCAACCAGATGGGAAGAATTGCCCCTTCCAACAAACATTGAAGTGGACAACCTTGTGAGGAAGCCTCCCCTCCACCCAGCACCATCGCCAACCACTGGCACGCTCCTTTTCCTCGTTCCTCTATATTATCATTGGATTGTGGAGAACTTATAGTTTTTCTTTTGCACTTTTCAAGCCTTTCAGCCTGGCTACATAAATTTTGTTATCCCAGTTCTCCCACAAGTTCAATTTAACTACCAGGACTACTTTGAGACCATGTTTGTTCTTTTCACTGGTCCCTTTGAACCTCGGAGACCACTTCACTCGGGTCGAGGCGCCCTGCTAAGCCTCGCACCTCCAGAGCTCTTGGGTCGCCCGGCGAACTGGGCCACAGGCTTCGAAGTCCGAGGGGCATCTTCGGGGGGGGGGGGGCGCTTTTCTTGTGGGGTTCTCTTTTTGAACACGACACATGCACTCGGCCGTCCTGGCCTTGGCGGACCCTCCTGGGCCCAGCCTTCTCCCTTTGCGCTCGCTGCCCTGACCCCGCTGCGGAAAAAGGCGCGAGAGGAAAAACAAAACACATCAAAACAGAAAGAGAACAGGAACATGCATCACTTGGGACCCCCAAGTGATGCAAGTGTTTTGTTGCAGAAGGTGATGCATCGGATGTTCACATATGTTAACACCCAAGGAGCATGAGCGATATTGAAATGCAGTAAGCAAGCAATGCTGATGGATTTGGCTGATGCGCATGCCGCACGCTGAAATTCCAAAGCAGCCAAACTGGCGGCTCCAATGAATCACTTGATGCCCATACTTATAGTGACTCTAGTAAGCCTTGATCCCCAAATAGATAACTGAAGCCCCTTATACATTGTTTCCGCCTATTTAGGGGATGAAAGATCTGTGGCCGTCTACTTAGGTGTTACCTCTGGCCGGAGCCACTTACTGGTGCCTGTGTCCCAGGACCGGTAAGGATGTTGGAAAGCTTCGTTGGCTGCCTTGGCTCAGAGTGGAACGGGTAAGAAACCCCAGCATCTTGTGCCACTGCGGCACTGGCTGGATTTGGATGTTCCTTGAGGCAACCAGACCGGTGAGGACATGGTTATTCAATGTTTTTTCGTGTGTTTACCGTTGTCAAAGCACTGGAAAATCCTCGTGGATGTTTTTTGCACACTTGACAGATCGGAGGGTTTGTCCTAGTAAACTGGAGCCCAGTCGGTAAAAGGTCTTAATATCACTATACTTTAGAGAAAGGCATGTGCCTGCAACCTAACGATCATCATCCACTGGGCCCTGGTAAGAGGATATACTCCAAATACAGTATATCTCCAACAGCACATTGGTCAACTCTTGGAGCTTCGAATATCCACCCCTGGGAGGAGACGAACTCCTATGTTCCTTGCTTTGCCTTCTTTCTGTTCGCCAGGACTTGTCGATCGACTTGTTGGAGGCTGGGCTTTCTGAACAAGACGCTTAGCTTGCGCCAGCAATTGCACACTTTCTGGGTGAGGCACCTACTTCATGTTTGATCATGTTTGTGAATTTGGATTCCTGTCAAGGCCTCAATATTTGTTGAAAAAAGGGGAACCTTGGAGTATCTTGGAGTCATTTCGCCAGCACGGCTGGCCAAGGAGCGTTTTGTGGATGCTGCTTTGGATGCACCGGTGGACTTGCCCGTGGCAGCCGCCGCCAGCGCCTAGGTCGGCAACTCACAGCAGTCATATCCGATATCCGCTTCACAGCAGTCATATGCGTCTGGAACATTCCTGTAATGTAAGGGTGGAGTTTCAAAGTGAACAGGTGAAGTAACACACGTTAAACAACCTGTTAAAAACCACAGGATCCGAAAGAGCCAGCAGCACTGGATTCTCATTCCATCCTGAGTCATTCTACATTTCTTCCTCATGGCATCCCTGCCCGCATGGTGCCCTAGGTGATCCTTACGGTGTGGTCTTGTGGCCTGCTGCCCAAGTGGTCGCTGCTGTCCTGGTGGCGCTGCTGTTGAAGGACGCAACGCGATGAGCTTGGAACATGGCGGGTGACTGTAGTCCAAATTAGGGGAAAGGCATTGCATGTGATTGAATCGGTTATTGTTTGCTTGTATATGCTGTAGGCAATTAACATGCAAATTAAACACATGACATGTCTCTAAATAAACATCCTGTACTGAGGCTCTTTTGATGTCAACCGCTTTTTTAATGATGTTACAGTTACAAGCCGCTGCAAAATGAGTTGGTGTGGTGGGCAGACTGACCAAGCTTGCAGCCTAAGAACATGCAGATGTTCGACACAGTGGCCATTTGAAGACTGCAGTGTGTGAATCTCACCTTGCGTAAGCCCACCCAAAACAGTATGTATGCAGTATGTATTGCTTGGATGGCAAGTGCATGCGCACTTAACATGTTGATACGGGTTCGTTTTAGATCACTCTCGATCCGTTCTTGGGACAGCCATCGTCGGACGCCCCAGGACTCCTCTCGCCGCCACGTCCTCGAGCTTGGTTCCGGCACCGGGCTTTGTGCCCTCTCAGCCGCCGGCCTGCAGCCAACGGTGCCCCCGGGCGGAACGGTGGCCGTGCTGGCCACGGACTACCGGGAGGAACCGCTGGAACTGTTGCGGCAGGTGGGGATGCGCGGGATGAGATGGTCAGTGGGCAGGAGCCTTCGGTGTTGTGCTTTGACCCGGGTCGGATGGAAGGAACTTGTATTGACTCAAGCAAGGACTGCCAACGGACGGAAGTACGTGACGGAAGCGCTTGTTGTTTTCGTTTTGATGAATGGGTGTTGCTTCAACGGGTGAGGCGGTGCCGTTGAACGAACAGCGGCTGGGACAGCCCTTGGAGATCGCCACGCGCTGTTTGGATTTCACCTGTGAGCCCTTGCCTCACACGGCCGCTTCGGCATGCGCTTGGCATATGCCTCCACGGGGAATCAGCGGCTTTTTGTTAGTAGCATGTTTAAGCCTCGATCCTTGTTGAAGAATATTCATGGTCCCACAGGCCCATGGGCAACAGAAAAAGATGGTTTAACTAACTACGCAAGCGCTTGGTGTCCTCCTGGGAATCTGTTAACGACTACAGTGACTACAGTACCTCGGCTTCATGGATAAACTATGATCAATGATAAACAAATAGTAAGTAGTAGTAGCATATGTTGCATGAGAATGTGCAGTGTAGCTCCACTCCTCCGCTGGATGGAGGCAAGATACTGGACATTCCTGGACGAGACAATCCATGCTTTTTTGGAGGAGATGTCTAATTTCAATAATTGGTCAACACAGTTGAGTAGTGTCCCGATACTTCTCGAGTTGGGGATTATAGCTGGATGTCCGATAACTTCCCGTCTACTTTGTTCACACTGGATGACACTGGCCAACCGAGCTTGCAGATTGTACTGAGCTGCCTTTTGTATCCATTTGACATTTTGTCAAGGCTGTGAAGGAAGGTGGAAATGTAACAGCCAGCAGCCAGCACAAAAGGATAGAAACTGAATGACGCTGAAGCAGAGGTCACTTCACTCCACTTCGGAAGTATGTTTGTCTTGTTCTCTCGCAGCAATACCAACCAAACCTTTCAGCTTGCATGTGTTGAGCGACCTCACCCTGCGACCTCATCACCCAGGACGTCCTGGTGGCCGCCGGCCTGCTGTACCTTCGCTCTACCTCCGAAGCACTGGCTGCAGGTGTGGATGGTGTGGGAAGCACCGTAACTGTGCCATTAGAGTCCTAGAGCCGAGCAACATTCCTCGGTGAAAATGAGGCAAAATCGGAGAGGTGGATGGGATCAGTCATATGAATGAAGACTCATGAAGTTGGTGAGTCAGTGAAGTCCAGGGAGTTGTTAGGTGAGTTGTGCATTGTGCAGATTGGGTTTTGGAGGGAATCCCACAAAAAGGAGTTAGAACTTAGAAGTTTCTGTTGAGACGTTGAAGCCGATAGAACGCGTGCCAGGATGCCTCTCCGCGCTCCAACATGGGGCCCATGTCTTGGTGGGAGACCCTCAGGCTGAGCAGGATATTGATGTGTTGAGAGATTGACGGGACTTTGAACTGCCTGGTGGGACTTCAGGAGGGTTTGCGGCTTGACAGTTTGTTCCACCGTACTTTTGCGTGCAGCCTGCACCAGTTCAGGCAAGTTTGCTTGTACCATCTCCAACTGAATGTTGGCTAGCCAATAGGTCCCACAGGGAGGTAGTCTTGATAGGGCAGGCCACTCAAAAAGTCATTATCTACAGTGGTTTCAGAGGTTCGATGGCAGAGACCTCAAGATGCTGTTCTTTACATGTTACATGGGAGTTCATACACACCACCTCTTGGGGTCTGTGCCATCTACTCTCAATCCACATCAATCCACAAGACATCGAGAAGAGTCAATTCCAAAACGACAAGGCGGTTCACGCTCGCTCTACCGTTCGCTCAGGACACCCAGCGCCCGGGGCGGCCCTTCTTCCTTCGTGCGCTGGCGCATGCGCTCGGGAAAGCGGTGCACTTCGAGACGGTGGAGGGATGGAGCTTAGCGCTGCCGAGGAAAACGGAGCCGCGACCCGGTCGGTGCAGAAGCTTTGAGGGCTTCTTGGAGAGGAAAGGAAACACCGCCGGGTTGGCCACGTGCCGAAGAACTGGATTTGGAAATGTTCATGAGGGCTGAAATGTATCGAAATGCTGCTCAAGTGGGATCCTTCATGAGACGACTGCTGTATGATCTGTATGGATTTGTTGCTATTCAACCAGTTGGAGGTACCGCATGCGGTGTGCAGATGACAGGGAGAGCCTTCAAACAGTTGACTCTTGTGGCAAGGTCCCAACAACCCAGTTGGATGAATATTAATGCATATCCTACCGGCTCACGGCATATGACACTTGGGAGGATGTTGGAGCTGCCCATGCAGCACCCCCACAGATTTTGTTTGGGGATTTGTGTGGCGTACAATGGCGTACAGCAGGCACGAGCTGATTGCCTCCACGACGACCGCGGCCCCACGCGACTGGACAGCGGTTTAGGTGAACAGACGCCACGGACACAGCAGACCTGTTGGTCAATTGATCCATGTGACCGGAAGGCTTGCAAGCTACAGTAGGATCCACTGAGTAGGTCGCAAATGGCCACATATGATCACATATGCATAGGTGCGGACATTAAGACTTGATATGACTTAATGTAATTAATATGTAGATTAGATGATCTCAGTTGGAGTTGGCCCAAGTTTTGCTAGATTTAAAGCTGTTGTAAACTTCATGTCAGGCGTTTCGTTGGAGTAAGTAGGGAGCCAGCTGAGGTCCGCAGCAGGTCGGCTTGCTTTACTTGACGCCAGATGACCTTGCATAAAAAGACCGGCTTGACCAGAGGTCGACTCCATCGACTTCAGTGATGTTCTTTTGCTCTGCGATATCATACCCTGCTGGAGGGAGATGTGGAGTCCGAGTCGGAACGCCCATGTCCTTCAAGTAAAACGGAGACATGTCCTTTGCCTCTCTTGCCAGCATGGTGCACAACGTGTGCATGACATTAAGTGCATAGCTTTGCAATTTGCTGCAAATAGAATCGAAACTTTTCCAAATCCTACAGAATCAACAACGACAGCCTGAAGCTCAAGCCAGACCAAAGGGATCCCAGACTAAGAAACTCTCACTTTGATGTAGTACTTCCAGAAGCTTGAAGGCATCGCAGCGGTATCAGCGTGCCGTTTACTGCAAAATGTCCAAGTTAAATAGGTAATTACTCCTGCTGGCCTTTGTAAGGCAGTGACTTGTGAGAAGTTGGTCCAAGACCTAGATCAAAGTCCGCACATGGAGATTTGCCACTCATACCAAGGCCCTTTGTATCAATACGCATGCTGCATGAACTTGGCATAGTACCTGACCCCCTCTCCGGTGCAAAACACATTCAAAAGCCACTAACGGTCACAGTTCGTACCGCGGAACACCGACCACCAACCACACCGGTCTACCGGGCGACCCGCCGGTCTACCGGGACGCTCATGGCACCGTGGCGACCGGGCCGTGTCGCCCGACCGCTGCTGCTGTGGGCCCTGGCATGCCTGGCTGCAGCGATGAGGCGAGGCACAGTGAGGCCGCAGTCAGTATACTGCATAGCTTTTGCTTGGGCAGAAGCTGGGGCAAGGATGAAGGTCGGAAAAACGAGGGCTAGGGAGTCCACAGGGCGGTTTTGGAAAAGACGCTTCGGAATGGGAGTAGGAATGGGAATCGCCGTAGATATATAGTCCAGCTATGTCGTGGAATGGGTGCTGCTGTGTCGTGTGACGTGGATGTGGGTGATATCGATTCAGCGCCCCATCGATGATCGCTTCAGTCGCTTGACTGCGGGCAGATGGTCGACGCCCATCAACGCCCCGGAACGGTCCTACAATTGACTGGCTCAACGAGAACGAGGGAAGGAAGACAAAATAAGACAAACATGCTGTAGGGCCTGTCAACTCAACCAGTAAAACCTACTCATGAGAGCCTAGCAAACCAAACACCCATCCAACGACATTTGGTTTGGTCCACATTCATTTGGTTGGGTCAAACACCCATCCAAACACCAGCAATGGCCATCCAACAAATGCATCTCATCCTCATTTGCCACACCACGCATGGTTCCAGGTCGCCGTTCCGGTCGCCTTGTTGGGCACAGCTGGGCCGCCGCCGCTCGGAGAGGAAGAGTCAGAAGGGGGCCAGGGGTGGAGCCAGCGCCCGTTTCCCCACTGGAAGTGGATGGTGGATGGCCCCGAAAGGAAGACTACTTTCCTCCACTTGGAGTGGACTTACCCTACCAGGGCTATAACTCCACCGTATGCCAGCTGGTGCAACAGGGAATGAGATGGAATGGGGAATGAGGAAAAATAGCCGCAGCCTGCCTCCTGGCCCACCCTCATTCTCCACTGGGAGTGGCAGTGCTCCAAGTCCCAAATGTTTGTGGGGGCCCTCCAAAATAGCACAGAGCACCTGAAAAGGATTCAGCACAGTGCTCTTGAGGCTGGTGGAACTTGAGATGATGCACAATGATGCTTTCAATGAGCGTATGCCACAATGTAGCACAAGGTCACCAGGGTGTTCACTTTCAGACGACGTGCTCCTTGATACTGGTACTTCATCATGTTCCACCTCGTTGTCCCACCAAACCAGTGGTTTTGAACCCTACAGCCCTGCTACATACCATGACATAGTTAACCTGGAGCTTGCAATGGATTGAGCATTTACTGCTTGTTTTCAAACTATGAATCTGATCAATTCCTGAAATATGAAATGAGAAAACACAATTTAGGAGAATATCATAAATGTATATTAGAAGTTGCCTGGAACTGGGGCTGGAGACTCAGCCCCACACTGAGGTGCTGCAGCCGCAGCGTTGTTGGCTCCAGTTGTGCGGCCGCAGGCACGCCCTGTCGGCAGGTGGCTGTTACAAATGTCCGTGCATGACTCTGTATACCACAGGGCTCCAATCACCTCCTGGCCGAGACGATGTTCAGATATGTCAGATCGATGATATGTTCTTGAGTTGTAAGCTGCAAGACCATTTCTTACTTAGTTGTACTCATTTGTTACTCTGAACATGGAACAGTGACGAGAAAGATCCCAAAGCTCCTGCACACGCAGGGGACCTGTGCGGTTCTTGTGCTGTTCTAATTCAAGCTGGTTGTAGAAGTGAACCTCCATTAATCGGTGTGTCAATCCCTTCTGTACGGCTTGGTTGCTTGGCATTTTGCCTTTTGGCGGGCAGAAAAAGAGCCTGTGACGGAAGGTGAATCTACTTGCGCATATTTGGTAAGGTCCGCAAGGAATGTACCCAGACATCTATCTAGCTACCAGAAGCTTTTGGGGCTAGAGGTAGAGGCTTTACAAGATACAAAGTTTATCATTGGACGGCTTGGCTGGCCATTGTAGATGGTGGGACCCCAGTGGGGCGAGCGGGTCAGCACCAAGCACACCATGATTCATGTTGCAAACAGGATGACTCCTATTGCTAGCTGCTTCCAGGGGCTATCTTGCATTCAGGGCCTTGTTGAGTACTGTTTTGACTGCCTCACTGTTGGCATTCGGTGACGACAGGCCGTCCCGCCGACCGTCCCGGTCCAGGCGGTCCACGCGGTCGCCTCGGCGGGCGAGATTCCTTGGGGGGAGCCGAAGCGCGCGAAGACCTCCTTGGCGTCGCTGCGGTTGAGAAAGGTGGTCGATGGAAGTCGGGGAGCAGCTGAGGACGGGAAGCCTCAGATGCTTAATAATAGTTTGTGTTTGATTTTTGCTTTGGGGAGTGCCGGATTTGTTCCATCAGCTGTTTTGGGAGATGTGTGCTCATATAAATTAATGCAGAGGTGCAAGGAACACTAACAGAGCTGTGAGTCTGTGAAGGAAGAATTGGACATTTGCAGTTTATCCAACCCAACGGCTCAGACCTCAGACCACACCCTTCTAGAAGCCAAGCCCCAGTTTCATGGCACGCCTATATACCTGTTCTCCTCCTCTACCAGGTACCAAATGCCTGTCCGTCAGTCTGCTCAGTCCGCCAACCCTCGCTCCGCCAACCGGGTCGTTCCGGCACCGAGGCTCCTGGCCGATGAGTTCACCCGCGCCTTTCAGCGCACGCAGTGGGGCGTCAACGGCCGCGTGGAGCCGAAGTTCTTCGATGACAACTTCGTGTTCCGCCACCTGGGCTGGTCGTTTTTTCCTGCTGAAAGGCACTGTGCTTCAGCTGGGATGTTTGGGTTATAGCAGATTCAATATGATGGAATTGCATAGGGGGTTGTTCATTTTCAAGGTACGGTGTGGTCTTCAAATTCCAAGAGTGGTGATAAAAGTTAAGTTGCATATAATTATCATGCTTTGTTTGACTGTATTGTTCTGTTTGGATTGATATTATGTGAAGGGGTTTGACCTCTTAGATCTATGTGTTAAGTTCACTTGGCAAGCCAGCGAACAACATTGAGAGGGAGAGAGAGAGGTCAAACACACCACGGAGGGACTTTCATTCAAAACACTGAGTTAGAGTGCCCGCATCCTCGTGTTGGCATTCAATCAATTTGGATAGTTTGGATGTTGGTGTGGCTTCGTATCTTTTTGCTTGTGTTGGCTGTTGACATCGTTGATCCTTTGTCGCCTGAGAGCAAGTGAGGCGACCCAGACGTGACCACCAATGGCATTCAAGCGTATTCCAAAGGCACCTGAGTCTGATCTCATATGGCCGCTTTGCTGTTTGGAGTAGGTTTGCGGCAGGTGTGAAAATTTGTTTGCAAGACCTTTGCAGCAAGTTGCGGGTGGATCAGATTGGAAGGCTCGAATACTTTGGGGGTGTCGTATTTACCTGTAAGTAACAGTCGGTCAACAAGCACATCACTATATAGGCCTGCGGCGATGGAACACACTGGGCATCATCATCCCCTCATATCCACTCATAAGGCATCATCCATTGGGCGCCCTTGGGCCCACGGAATAGGATACACGATGGATACACCATGATACGTGTTTGACCAAGGCACCGGAGCGGTGCTCTCCAACTGCCAGGCGGATGCCATTGCTGCTCGGCACCAGATGGCTGGCTGGTAGTGTAAGATTCCCCGAAGACAACCAACCAACCATGGCCTTTTGGGTGGGAATGACAACCAGGTCCAACGATGTGCAGCTGGGCGTTGGACCGGTGGACCCGGAGCTGGGAAGCGGGTACCGCTTCGCCGAGGACGTGCAGCTCTTCGAGCCAGATCGCTTCGCCATCCGCTGGCGCATCGCGGGGACGGCCAACGTGCCCTTTCCCGGGCTGAGGATTAAGCCCTACATTGTGACCTGGCAGTCCACGCGGTGCGGCCATCAGATTGAATAGATGATGTTTCATTGAATTAGGTATATAGAGATGGTAATTTGTTGGTATGAACTCCAGGGCTAGAACGAGAGAAGATGTCGGATGATAGAGGAATCGAGGGCAGGATGGGTGTGTTTTTGAGAACATCATGTCAAGGTTTTGACCGCTAAAAGTTAGGATATCGGAGAGGAATGCGTGACAAATGCTTGATGGAAACAGGGGATAAGCACTGCCTTGAGTGGCCTTAGCTCTATTCTTCACTACTCCGGCCCCAGCAGCCTCGCGGTCCCAGGTCACCAGCACCTTCACGGTGAACTCGCAGGGCCTCGTGGACTCGGAGACTGATGCTTGGAGGGTCCACGCGTGGTGGAAGACGGGACGAAGCGGCGAGTCAGGAGTCATGAGGGCCTGTTGGGGCCGGCCGTCACGGGATCCTGGAAGCCACTGATGTGGCTTTGGGGGTTGAGGTTTCCGCCTGTGGCGGTGGTGGGGAGTTGCGGCAATGGTGGCAGTATATAGCAGTATAGGATATAGATGGATAGAGTATGTCTGACAGACACATATAGTTCTACAGTCCCATGGCGCATGAGGAGTGCATTGCAGATGCCATGCTAGCTCCTTGTGGGTAGCAGGGTAGCTTTAGACTTTGGCTGTTCAGATGCTTGGATCGGCTGACTTCCACCTGAAAGGCATGCACATTTAGACAGGAACATATGGTTCAACAACCGCTTGAACCTTACTTCATCGCCTCAAATTCAAAGAAAAACTGGTTCTTTCATGTTCTTTAGAGTTCAAACAAGGGTGCCCCAAAAACACTTGGAACAACCTTTGAAGCTACTTGCATTACTTCCTTTGGACACATTTGCTGCAAAACTCGAGATGAAAACCATACCATATCCACTCCACCCCTCCATCCACCCCTCCATCCGAGGATAGTTTCTCGATCCCCACCTGGGATCTGCTGCTCTCCGCCGTGGCTCCCTGGCTGCCCGGCCTGGCGCCGCCGGAGCCGCCGGTGCAGTCGCCCTATGCCTAGCGGCCTAGCTCGGTGGGACGGGACGGGGGGATGACGTGGAAACAGGTGTTTGGGGGTGGGGGTATGGGGAGGAACCGAGGATTGGGTGATGAGATGAGGATGAGTCGGTCGATGTGGGGAGAGGGTATCATATCACCAGAATGCATCACGAAGCACTAGATTGTCCGTTGACCTCGGCAGGCGGTCACAAAGAGAGCATGTAACCAGACCCATGAATGTGTATATGCACATAGCTTAAGATTTTAGAAGGATCTCCTTTGCCAAGGCCAAAACATGCCAAAACCGAAGCTATCCACTCTTTGTTTATTCCCCTGTGAGCTTGCGCCACTCCTTGCCAGGGCCGAAGAAGCTATGGATGGAACGCGAAAGAGGCCAGCTCAAGAAAAGAACAGAGCGCATCGGAGGTGCCAGCAATATGCTTTGCACTACTGAACTACTTGGTCTTAGTCCCCGTTGGTGCAATTCCAGTTGCTAAACAAGAATCAGAAGGGGTGCGTTGTGATTGCATATCAACATACCAACTGCACGGTGTGATTCACTTAAGTTACACAACTATGCGAGTCTTGATGCTCAATTTGTTTTTGCACGTTGCACCCATGGACCCATGGTTCATTTAGGCTCACCTTATCGAATCCTTGTATGGAGGAGAGAGTGCACAAAGGCGGGAAAGTTTATCGGATTTTGTGAATACCGGCAACTCAGAATATAGTCACTAGATTTCATCCAGCTGGCAGCACTCCCTTTGGCTCAAACTGCGATATGCGGCGTGCCAAGCTATCTGGACAAACCTGGTCCTGCAACTTTGATCATTCACAACATTTCAAATTTTGACAATTCGCAACGCGTTGGAAACATGGAGCCAAAGCCCGTAGGCCACCAATGTTTGAAATAGCAGGCGTTGTCCCAACACCTGCTGATTCTGAGAAAGTTGTATTTGATGTGGCAATTTTGTGTGTTTTAAGTTTTGAAGGTGACTGGTGATCATGCAGGACTGGTGTGCATGTGGGCTGTGGGCTCATGAAGTTACACAAGCAAGTTTGGCCAAACTTTGTACCCAGAGTCACTTGTCCCTCGTGTCAGCTCTTGTTTTGGAGGAGTGAGGGCTTAGAGTCGAAAGATTGGATGAACGCCGGCGACTCAGACCTAGATGCACCAAAAGGCCTATATACAGTATATAAAATAAGTGGACGGCTGTGAACTAATTGCGGGTTTACCATTGTTTTGCGGCCCCCGTGGAGCTTAAGGATGCCGATCTCGTGGCCCGACCTCCGGGCATCGGAGGCCTTCAAGTCGCGTCGGAACAAGGGTCAGGACCTCCTGTGTTGGTTCCACCTCACAAGAAAGTGTCAGCGGGTGCAGGAAGATGAAGTGCTCCACCTCTACGGCCGGGCAGTTTGGCCCTCAGAGGATCCATTGTAAGACCAGAACATTCCAAACCTAAAGCTTTTGAAGGTCTGAGCAACCACGCCACAGCAATTGTCAGTCACGGGCGGGTCCCAAAACGAAAGTGTGGGCACAAGGTGTGTTCGCAATAGGAGGAGAGCATGAGCATTCTCATGCGAGTTGCAGATGATTGTCAATCTCACCAACCGTATTCGGAAACTCTGACAAGGCTCTATGTTGGGTAAACAGCAAACCCCATTCAAGCAATTGACGTGGTGGGTGAGAATTCCAGGCCTTCAACCAGTGGCGTTTTTTGGAAATCATAGCATTTCAAGGCCTTTGAGGTTCCAACGTGTTGTTTTGGTGAGCAACTCGTCCCAACTCCAAGCTACTCTCGATCATCCAAATTTGGTTCTCTCACCGCCTTGGTTCAGTTGCGCGTGATCATTCAACAACCAGAGCTCGTCCAATTGTCATGAATTTGCAGGCAAGGAGCTCAGGCGAGAGGGACTTCTTGACAATTCATTACAATTCTGAGTTTCTGGAAATCTATCCGCTATGGCTGCAGCGAAGACTCAGCAGCTAGGCCGCTTGCCACTTTTGGAGAAGGTGTTGATCATCGTCCCACACTGAGATGGAGTTCAACTTTCAACATGAGTGTGCAGTACACTTTAGTGCACACTTCCTGAAACTCCATGAAACTCGCAGATGTGATACTAAAGATAAGGATGCGTTGAAGCAACGACTGAATGACTCTTGAAAGGCACGGGCTGGGTCCAGTGTCAACCTTCAAGATTTACATGTGCCTACTTGTGTTTGTTGAGACTGGTTATCCTCCGCCTCCACACGTTTGCAGTTGTTTCAGGAGCTGGCTGGCGACGTTCTTGTTTGTGCGAAACTGCCAGCGGATGCGCACGGAGTGCCAAGTTACGCTTGAGCTGGACTGCCCTGTTGCCGCATGTTTGACACAGTTTACTATGTGAAAGTGGAGGTGTTTGTCAGACAAATCATAAGATATTGGAAGATTTGAAGGATACATTCATTTTTGCTATTTGCTATCATTAGACCAAAATAGGAGGAGTTTTCCCAATAGCCCGTGACTCTGAACTTATTGGATCTTGTGGCAAGCTTTGTGCAAATGACTTGTGGAAGACACGCGGTTTCCAGGTGCGGTTTCCAGCTTTCCTCGACCAGTGCTTTCCAGGACAGCGAGAAGTCGGAGAAGACGGCGAGAATGCCAGCGACTCAGACTGGATCCATCAGGTTTGCTTTACTGTAGTAATACTTGCACGCTTGGATAACTATTGACAATTGAGTGATTGAGTCTTTTGCATGGTTATGTCCAACACCGGTCCTAGCAAGAGGAACTCCCTGAAAACTCCCGCCTCAATCCGCGGACCTTTTCAATCAGGCAAGGTGTGCTAGACCAGAGGTCGAGTGAAAAGCATGACATGCAACCTGCATCAAACTGCCATGACCAGCATGGCCCACCTCTGAGCTGCCCGCCACGTGCCCGCCGCGCGTGCAGGAGGATGTGCTGCAGCTCCAATGGCCCAGGGTCCCCAAGAAGTGCATCCGGATGGAACAACTGCAGGCGGATTGGACCGGACGGGGGTGTGGTGGGCTGTGGTTCCAAGACATGAGGCCCAAAAAGGATTGAAGCCAGAAGATTCATTCGAACCCGCTGATGGTCTAACCAGCCACATGAGGGCACCATCAGGCGTTTGCCACGTTAGCTATGCCAAGAGTGGAGCACCACACATCAGCTCACGAAGGTTTGGAGACTTGATGCTGTTACACCCCTTGCACCTTCACCGAACCACCAGGGTATGCCCAGGTAGGATTGGTTGGCGCTTAGAGAAATCTTCAGGCCAACCTCAATCGTGAAGTGGAGAATTAGATATGGATCCAGCTCATGGATCCATGGGAGATTTGCAGGATCGTCTATTGCTCAACTAACTGAGAGTCAGAGCCCGCTAGAAAACTACAGGATAGTGAAATGATGTATAGAACATTATAGAACGGAATGTGCAGCGATAGTCAAACTATGTGAAACTATTCTACAATGGAAGATGCGCCTGATGCGCTCGGATGTTCTACAGGAACAAACTCCAACTTCCATCCCCACCTACAAGGGCGTGCTGAATCCCACGCGTGTATGCCGTCATAGCTGGGAGAAACGCCAACATTGCAGGGAACAGTTCCCTGTGACACGAAGCAGTACATTGAACATCATTGAACTTTCCACCTGTGCATACCTGTGCGGCTTGTTGCTTTCCGGCTTGGTCCAGGGGAAGATTCATGACCGGAACCTTTGCCTCTCATTGGCCTGAGCCCACAGAAAGACAGAGAGGGTGACCATCATCAAGCTCAAGGAGGGGTCTAGTAACAACACATGTACAGCAACACTATGTAACACTTAATTGTATACCTGTTGCTGCCTTGTTTGAGTTCATGCTGTCTGGTCATGGGACATTAGAGGATTTCACTTCCCCTCCGCTAGGTTGCACCTCCAGGAGGCTGCGGAGAAGTTGCGATGAGGCCCGTACCGAAAGATCAAGCAGCAGCTTTGAGACTTGAAGAGCTTATACATGCTTTTATATATACAATGTGGCAGATTAGATTGGTGCAAACAGGGAATTTGTGAATCGCAGGGTTCCAAGGACACATCAAGCGATTTCGATCAATGGCTGGAAGCAACAATCAGGTGGGACATGTCAGTCAGTTGCATGTGTTCTTTAGACTGACTTCGCCCGCCCGAATCCATTGCTGAAAGTGTTGAGTGAGGCGGAGCCCTTTTCGGCTCAAAGAAAGCCGAGGGTGAAGCACACGAGGGAGAACCCGCTGAGAGCAAACGATTTCTAGGCCACTTACTTTGACACCACAAGAATATACAAGAATCACTGGCCCAATGTACGCCGGACCCCACACCACCTATTATATATTAGTACCCACAACCCCACCAGCAGGCAACAACCCCAAAATAACACATTTGTACTACTGATCCTCGAACCCAGCCCCCTGTCTCTCACGGTGACCGACTGACCTGCAAGCCAAACGGGTTCACTCCAGCATGGCCCTTTGCTCTGGACGAAAGGCCCACTCAAAGGCCACCCCCTCGGCATCACCGCACAGTGGTCCTCGGGAGGAGCACGACAAGGGCGGTGCCACCGGTCCTCCGAGGGAGGAACAACCAAAAATGCCGGCAGAACTGGAAGGGCCGGAATGGATGCCTGGATGAAAACTAACGGCCCTCCGAAGGAGCAGAAGCATTCAGTCATAGAATGGAAGCTTGAATAATGGATTGCACGGATATATCGAGCACCATTTACGCAAGCCGCGGGATGTCGAATTTTGTTGCTGACCCGAGGAAGCAGAAGTGGCAGAGAGTGTTAGACGAACGCTGCAAGGAACTGAAGGCGCATTCTGAAGCCCTGATCGTGTGGTTGTTTCATTGGGCTGTTCAACACACAATGTTCTACATCAGTTCAATGTAGACCAGCATAGGTAGCATGGAACGAGTTCCTCAAAACCATTTGAACCTAGTTACGGTTCTTGTAAAGGGCTTACACAGAAGTGTGTGGTTGGGAAATGGGCTTCTATTTTGACCTTATCTCCCATCTCATTTTGATTTTGCACTCTAACCGTAACGCACCATGGTTGCATTATGTTGCATTTGTTTCAATCAAGTTGGGGCCGACAGTGGTTTAGAATCTTACATCATTTGACATTGAGAATGTAATAATGGATTTTGCGTGTTGTTTGATTTCTCGCCGCCCTTTGCTTGTGCCAAGCTTCACTGCTCAACCGGTGCCAAGCGGGCCGCAGGGTCAGGCGAAGTACCTGAAGGTTGACAAGGAGGTCCTCGAGCAGGTCATTTCTGGAATTTTGCATGCCCTCAGCAAAACTTTGTTTTGTTTGGCTGTTTGTTTGCTTTGTTGGCCTGCGAGGGTCAACTGCCTACAAACCTTGCAGTAACTTCAGGGCGAGGGTGTGATCGGCTGAGGAATCGAGGACCGAAGGGATCAATGCGAGGGCTGCCACTTGCTGGAACGATTCCGCATCGTGGATGACACCAAAAGACATGAGGGTGTCAAAAAGAAAGATGGGCATCAGGAGTGGGTGTGCTGCCGGTGCTTGGACTCTTGCAGTCCCCAACATGGGAAAGGACCCTATATTATTTCTGTATTGAATTGGTGGCTGTTGGAAACTCAAGTTTTACGTTTAGAACGTCAACCTGATGGTGTTTGGTTTGGCGGAGGGCTTGCAGTTCAGCCATGGCCTTCCAATTTGTGCACTCCACCTTTCCTGAAGAAGCCTTTTGCATGCCAAAGTAGCCCCGTCTATGAGGCTTTGGCCCATTCCATGGGTTTCCCAACCTAATGGTCCCAACTAGTCCACCCTATGTGTGCTCAAGCCCACTTGAGGGATCGGCGTTACTCTCCGAGCAAGGGACTATAGAGAGTCAGGCGTGTGCCTTTTTGCTTCGCAGCACTGCATCCACTTTTGGCCCCCCTTCGGTGATTCCAGAGTTCTCGACCTTGAGTGATCCCAGAGTAGGCTGGCAGCTGATGACACTTTGATGTAACTTTGTTGTGTTTTGTTGAATTCCCCTGAAGACTGTCCAAAAACAATAGCCGACATAGTGTCAGGATTCCATGAACCATGTGAGGTCGTGAAAGGATGAACACTGCGTAAGTGGAGTGTGACACCCGCCTGCAGCGCTCAATGCAAACAGTTTGCAGATGCATATATATAATGCTATATATATAGTTATTATATATATAATGTTATATACACATATATAGTTTATGTTGAGTATATAGATGTATACCGTATATATATAGAGAGGTTTGGAATGCATGCGTGTATTCCTGCCCCCTCCTTCTGGCCTTATTGATTCAAATCTCAGCCTCTATCCAGATTGGACGGCACATCATGGCACGGAAAACAATACCTCATGATGACTCATGAAACACCATGGCCTGTAATGTTCAACGTTCTATTTGTATGCCGGCCTTCCTTCAAGCGGTGCACATGAGCCCTTGCCAGGCTCTCCGGTACATAAACCACAATCACTCCGCACATAGAAGCCAAAGCGCTGGCCTCATGATTTGTGCCTGGCACTCGTTTTGAGGAAGTCATCAAAAGTCATGAGCCAAAAATGACACACTTGTCAGACCACACAATTCCTTGTCCAACGATCCGGTGGTGTGAGCAAGTGTAAGTTGCGCATGCAGAACAACAAGGAAACCATCAAAAAGTGATGAGAGGAAGATATGCACCGCGACATGGAAGGTCATCACATTGCCGCAAGACACCAACTCCCCATGTGCCGTTTGGCCCACCCTATGCCCACTATTATGTTTCAGCCCAAGTGGTTGCAGAGTTCAACATCCCCAAAGTGACGGTAGTCACGTCGTAGTCTTAACACCGCTGAGAAGCTGGATTCGCCTGACATTGGGTATATTGAGACAGACATCATCTATTCTATATTTTTTTCATAATTTGTTTTTGTCTCGTGTGAACACGCATGTGCAAACATACATTCATAGTTTCAGAGAGGCTCGAGTATCAAGCCTTTGCGGCCTTCAGTTTTATGCTAGATTTGAAGGAGGAATTTGATGATGAAATGGAACCGGGCGCAAACCAAGCCATCAAACTTGCTAACGCCCACTCCCTGTTTAGGCTTGGGGGTTCAATGTTACCAATGCATGGCCAACTACCAATGGATGGCCACCTGCCAATGCATGGCCACCTACATACATGTTAGATTAGTTATGTTTTACTATCCAAGGGTGAGATTTGTTGCAGCAAACCATGTTTTGTCATGTTTTGTCAAGATATGTCAACATCATATGCACGAACATGCATGGGAGCATGGTTACCTCAAATCAGGGAGCGACGTAGGCAAGTTGGACGCGTTCGGGGTTCGTGTCTCCAACAATACGTCGTTTTCTTCAAGGGCTTTGATACATTGCAGTGCATGAGCAGCTTTAACCCTGAAAGAACTGATTCAGTTTCGTGTTGAAGTATGCACTGGTGAAAAATGGCTCGCCTTCGCTGTTTACGGCCTTTGCTTTCCACAGGAGGCAGGCTTGCGATTTGAAGTGGTGTTCAAAGAGCAGAGCGACCATCCCCCTTCCAACATCCAACAGGAGTGGGTTTGCATGACTGGTCGGGCACGATTCGTGTTTCTGGGTTTGCATGTAGTTCTTCAACAGTTCCTGTGGGATTTTGCCAACAATTTCCAAACTTGCTTGCTACACTCACTTCATGTGTTCGTAAGATTTGACAGCAAGGAGACTGAAACAAACTCATGTAAGCATAGCAGTTGTACCACCTGTGCGCATGTTCTAAATACATTAATATATATAGTTTTTATATACTTCAGGAGGAAATGTTTGGTAACCACTTCACTGGAGAATGTCATTGACACCACTTCTCTTTCCCAACGGAATTCTGGCGGATTAGTTTCCACCCCGAACAAAACAATAATTTATATATACTTCAGGGCACTCTTCAGGAGGAAGAAAGTTCGGCAACAACTTCACTGGAGAATGTCATTGACATCACCTCTCTTTCCCAATGGAATTCTGTCGGATTAGTTTTCACCCTGAACTAAATTGTAATACGGTATACTATGAATTTGCTTCGGAGTGGAAATAAGTCTGCCAGCATTCCACTGTGATCCCCTGTGGGATTCTAAGGGAAAAGGGTTGTACGTTATGTACTAACAAAAGTCTTACCTACCTTTGTCCTGGCTGTGTATATATATATATATATGTGCATGTTTGGTATCACTATGTTTTAAATTGTTTTAAAACACCGTGATCAAATTTGTCATTTGTCATTGTCATGCGGGAGCGCACCCTATGTTGGCTTCATTGGCACGAGGTTTGGATTTTGCCTTCTCCAGGAAAAAGAAGCCCTTGAGAATTTCTCTTCGAGTGAGACTGCACGGGAAGAGTTGCCACAATTGGTTGCTGCGCTGCTCAAAGCCGTCAACTTGATGCCTGGATGTTGTTGCAAATGCACCTTTTTGTTTCAACATTCAGACCATGACCTTTTAGTTGGAGATGACCCTTCCCCGTGTCGGATCCATTTTGCATTGCCTCCTTAGCGTTTGAAAGAGGTCGTTTTGTGTTACCTGGTTCTGTGTCAAACCTTGGAAAACTGTTGTGTCAGAGTGTCACGATACAACGTTGCGGAATGTGTGGGAAGCACTGTCATAAGGCCAAGTGGTGTCACGAAAACGGTGGAATGACTCACATTCTGCTGGTACTAGTTACTAGTTTCACACGTCCCTTTCTGCTATCTATCAGGCTGCTTACAGAACCAAGTTTGACCCCACCCATAAATTCGAGTCGCGCTAGTGGCGCCCTCCACCTGTGTAAGCAGTTTTGTACGGTGTTTGCGCTGGTTGGACAGGTGTATATCAGCTCGAATTGCCCATTCAATCTCACAAGTCAAGTTGCAACGGACTGGTCAAGTGTTGCTTATCGCTCAAGCCACCTCCAAGGCCCGCCGAGCGTGCGAACCTCCGCGGAGCGCATTTGCAGTACGTGCAGCTGCAGGGCGTTTGTTTGGAGAAAGCGAACCTCCAGGGTGCCGACCTGCGCGGCGCCGATTTGCGCGGCGCCAACCTGAAGAAGGCACAGCTGCAGGCAGCAGATTTGAGAGGCGCCAAGCTGAGAGGAGCTGCTTGGCTGAAGGTCGCTTTGACGGAAGAGGCTATGTAAGACTGTTCCAAGAACTCCTGGTTGTTCTGAAATGGAGGAAATGAAACACAATGGGTCAATGTGTATTTGTATTTTTTACAATTTGTTTGAACGTCAATAGCCTCCTTGGGAGCTTGAGAGCTAGCGGAGACTAGACTAGACTTCTCCAAGTCAATAGGTTTGAGAGAAGAAACCACAACGACACTGGTAAGTTATCATTGTTGTTGACATTTCGACTTTAGTCGATCGTGTGCTTATCCAGCCATCACCTTCAACTTGCATGCGTTGAAATGGGTTGAAATTGATTGTGCGGGCTACCACGAGGAAACTGCCACCTCGTGTACCATTTACTAGATTTTGGTGCAATCTGGGGCCCGTACAATTTCGATGACAAATTTTCAACGGGTTGCAAAATCCCTTACACAACTGCAGTCACTTCAGGGTCCAGATTGACTTGGTGCTTTTGGTGCACCGCTGCACGGGTGCCCACTCCAAGAAACGACTCTGCATATTATATTTCAGCATGAAGTCCAGGAGTCCATAAGTAACAATCAACAATTGAGCCTCCTAGAACGTTAGAGGACCCAAGAGGCTACAAATGTAAGGAAGAACGTTGTATGACACTTACTTGCGCGTGTTCAGGCCAATCTTGATGGCGCCTCTTTGCATGGAGCCACCCTGGTGAATGCTGAGCTCCAAGACGTCAAGTTTCGGCTTACAGATCTCACAGGAGTGGATGGGCTCAGGGCTCAGAGGCTGAGCGGCTTAGAGACCACTAAAACTTGGAACTTTATAAACTTTGCAGATGCAAGATGACTTGTTACTTTGGGTTGTGTGTGTGTGTCAGTTCTTTGAAGCGATTCACTTGTCTCGCTTCCCTATGGAACCTACTCCCCTATGCCTATGCATGGCGTTAATTCAAGACTGCTAAGTATTCAGTAACTAGTTTGGCGATTCAATCAGTCTTTCTAAAACATCTACAACTCGCTGATTCAGCATCCTTGCCGTTCCAGCATTCCTTTCCCTGTGGATTCTCTTACAGAATGAGACTCTATCGAAGTGTGTCAGTTATTTTGCAAGTGATGCATTTGCTGGGTAGATGCAGTCAAAAATCCTTGTTGTTCGGCCGAGACCTTGGAAGTCAACTGGGGACAAGGTAAGTTTGCAAGATAGGTACATATATAGAAGTACCAGCACACGGATAGTATATAACACAAACATCTAATATATATACACACTGCGTATGACTTCTATGATTTTAGGGTGCTTATGGACAAAGCAACTGTTTGGTGTCTATTCAACAAGATTGGCCCGTTTTGTAGTCGTTGTACTGTTGTTGTCCCGAGTTTTTTTGTAGTTTGAGGCTATCCAAGAAGCCGCTTGTAAAGAGGTAGTTCGCTGCAAAGAAGGAGTCACTGAAGCACTTTCAAACATCCAAGGAAGAGGCCTGCACCATATCGCTGTACCAATTACCAATTATCTTCATCGGAAGCGGACGAACGTTTTGTTTCCCCGCGTAGATGGAGAAGAGTCCTATAGAGGAAGATGTTGTTGACTCTATTTGTTCATTGAAGACACGCGCGACATCGATAGTTCATGTTGTTGCCCCATTTCCATGACAGGAGCCAATCTCTTTGGAGCTGACTTGACTGGCGCGCAGATGATGAGTGCAGAGTGGCAGAAGGGCAAAGCCCCCATTTGCCTTAATATCAAGTGAAGCTTGGATTTGGCAAAGTGTTTTTTCTTTAAGATTTCAGGGGGGCTGTGGGCTGTTGTCACTATTGTTTTTTTGGGTGTGGCGAGATGTTTGAGGGTACCAGTCACGAAAGGTAGCTTGAGCTACCTGAGTTCTCCTTGCTTTAGCAAAAATGTATTACAATCAGGAGTTGGCATTGTGCATTGAGTTTGGTCCTGTAAGAGATGATTCTGTTCGTCGGGGGGGGGGGCCCTGGATCAAATCTCCCCTGCGCCGGTTCACGCCGTCATGGACTTCTACCAGGGTTATTTGAGATTATATACCTGCTACCTTTCGATCACCCCCTCCTCTCTCAAGTATTACATGATTGGTGTGCTGTTTCTACGGCCCATGCACCCAATGAACAAAGAGTGAACCGTTGCACCTGAAAGGGTGTGTTTCTTGGATGTTATTGCACGTGCTTGACATGAAACAGGCACTCCGGAGAAAAGAACTTTGGCCATAGAAGTGACACTGATGTGACTTTGATTTTTGAACTGCAGTCTGGAAAGTGTTTTTTCTTCCAGAAACTGCTCTGGAAACTGCTGAAATCGTTCTCACCTTTGAGGTCCGCGTGTGCCCCTGGGTTCGTTTTCCAAGAAGGCCCGGCATGAAAGTGCTGGGCAGATGATGAAGCAGATGTTCTTGGGCCGCGAAGATCGAGAGGAGTTGGATGACACCGAGGATGAGACGGACGAGACCACAAAAGGCGTGCCCTCAGATCAAGAGGACTCTTGGCTGAGAGCATTTAGATCAAATTACGCAGTGATCCGCAGTGGGTTTGTGTAGTAGTATGTATGTTTTTAATCGGGTATGTAATTGTTTAATTACTATGACTGACTATGACTATAACCTCTTCAAAACCATGTTGGTCTCTCTCAAGGTGTCAACGCTCATTCAGGTCCTGTGCATTCACATCAAATGACGAAAACCCATGCGAATGTGACAACATGGACCCCAGCGCCCCTCCAAGAAATGTTCATTCAGAATCCGCATACAGATTGTTTCGTGCCATGGACTGGGGACTTGCCTTTGCGCAAGGTGAGTTAGATATAACGATATAACCGGGAAAGAAGCGGCACAGGCATAGACGAAGAGCAAACACCCACACTCTCTGCTAATTTCATTTGTGTTTGTTGGCCCTGTTGACCTTAGCCCTTAGCCCTAACGTTGCTGTAAACATGTGTTTGGGAATTATATTGAAACTTCAAGGTTTCGTAGAGTCAGGAAACAGCACAGATCATCGTTTGCTGTATGCGGAGTGATGTTTTTGGAGTCTGCAGGTCTTCGGTTGTAACAGAAGACTCCTCAGCCAAAAATCCAGCCAGCTCAAGGACACGCTGTACTCCGAGCGCTCCGAGTGCGTCCCTTTGCTCGACTGCTGTGGATCGTCAATTGTGCCTGTCGATGTCGAGCCGGACTTGCTCAAAAGGTGCACTCGCCTGAATTAGGGAAGTAAAGGGATGCCAGGTGACCTTTAATTTGAAGACTTCACAAACACACACGCGCAACATCAGTGGGTTGATGCGTGACTTGTTTTGGCGGAAGGCGTTTGATCGTGGCTGCAGCAAGTTCTCAACTCGTGTATCTCATGCATTGATGTCATTCGCAAAGCGATCAATCTATTGTTTATCCATGTTTCTCCTTTTTGTTATTCTTCTTCCGTCCTCATTCCGGCGGCACAGGTTTGAAACTGCAGTGCAGCAAGTCGAGCGTCATTTGGGCGATGGGGACATGGCACAGGTGGGGTTGAAGCCAAGCATCGTGAGTGTATGATATGAACACTTACTAGCCGAGGTCTTCAACAACATGTCAAGAAGCCGCAAGTTATATCGTAGTGCATCAGGGAATGCACAATGCACAAACAGCATGATGACAGTGTTGGTCTATTGTGGCAATTGAAATGTGCGGAGTTCTTTTTGGTGAGATCATTCTTGTATCTATGCACGCATTTGTGTGGTTTCCTCTCTCAAGATGTTGCTATCATAGATGCAAGGTGAAGGTCTTGCGAAAGATGATGGAGGAAATGAAGAAAGACACTTTCACAAAGACGCCTGGCAAGAGGTGATGTTGTCAGAATACGTAGGAGTATTGAAACTTTCTAGTTGCACCTAACAAATGATTAGACTGACATTGCATCCCCGCCTAGTTTGTTTGGATGTTATTGAAGTCTCATTGCTGTTCGTTGTGGACACCACCAGTTTGAGCGAGAAACTCAAGGCTTTAAGGGGTGATTTGTGATGTCAGGTGCACCTCTGGTAATGTGCTGACATTTGCGCAGAGAGAGGGCCGATCCTTTTTCTTGTCTCACCTTCCTTGGAGCTGTTTCCAAGGAACGTGGAACCATTGCTGAAGGCCCAGGCCCAGGCGAAAGAGGCGAAGGCCGAGCCGGAGTTGATCACCACCCTCGAGGAGTTGGCGCGTTTGGCGGACAAGCCCACGGGTGGCAAGTTCACCAAAGCAGTGACCGACTTTGCGGCACAGCTGATCAAAGTTGAAGGCGAGGATCGGCCAGGGATCAACATGGCCTCAGAACCAATCGGAAAAGGGGCATCCAACAGGTGCAGTTGTGCGTAAATCCTTCAACATTACCTGTTTGGCAAGCTTTGAGCTATGGGGCCATGCCCAAACATACATGGTTGATGAATGGGCTGCCCCGAATAGCCACCAATAGAACCTATCAAAAGGTGCACACAAAAATTGAGTGTCTTGTTTCAACTATGTATTCAACTTTGCTTTTTGTGCATGCTTTTTGCTTGCCTATTGCACGCGGACAACTACATTCCTGAAAACTAATATGGACCCTAAGAACATCGTGAAAGACAGACTTCCTTTGCAAACCAGTGGTTTGTTCATCTTCTAGGGCACAACTGGAGGATTTGTCAGGCTAGCAACCGCATTCAGATCTGTTGAATCCTAGGTCCTAGGCCCATGATTTGGTTGCCTTCAAACACTTGCATTTCCAACCCTGCTCCCCACTGTCCAGGATTGGCGGTTCCTGAAGAGACTTGTGACAAAGCAAAGGACACAGGTTCCAAGGAAGCAAAGGTGATAGTCACACGGATCAAGAAGTTGATTGACTTTCAACTGACAGCGCCCACGAGCTTCTTGGTGATTTACAAATGGACCTATGTAGAATGTAGAGCTGATCGGGATCCTGTGTGAACCATGGCATGTCCTTGTTCACCAAGGTTATTCCTCCGGTACAGCACTCAGCGCCAATTGCTTGTCAGGTTCAGATTGGATGGCACGAACCACCGGCTAACGTCACCTATTGTGAGCATTGTTTTGCCCATGAGTTGACTTCAAATTTGTTCTACGCTAGGAGTACATTTCAACTCAGGTAGCAGTTTTGCAAAGGTGTCAGCTTGTTGCTGTTTTGCTGGAGGCTTTGCTTGTTTCATCCCCCCTTTTCAGATGACCTCCGATTTGCGGGAATTAGAGGCCCGCCGCTCTGGGAGGAAACCTTTATGACATGCAGCTTACCCGCGGGGGGTGGCGACCCTGCGCAGCTTCCCCGTCGTGTCAGAAATCGAACGCCCCTTCCCAAGCTGGTGTATTGAATGATTGGACGACATAAAGAGTTCGACTTGGGGATTTGAGCCAAGTCTTCTTGTTTGATGCTGTGGCTATCAAGTTTGGCATGGTTGAGCTGAGCCGAATCTAGAGGTGGTGACCTTAGTGGTCATGCAAATCCTCTTCTATTAGACACGGTCAGGCCCAACCTCCGACACCGGAGCATGCAGGACATGCTGGGCCACATCGAGAAGCTGCAGGAAACGGTCAACGTGAACAACTGGGATGAGCCATGACTGACTCCAGTTGTGTTAGTGTGTTGCCTTTGTTTTCTTCTAGCTGTGCTACTTATTTGGTGGGTGCAGGCTGTTGTAAAATTATGCCCAAGTGACCCAAGTGGTTGCCCTTTTGGGTGAGTGCTAGACAAAAGAAGTTAAGCCGTTAAGCTCGACAATGTTCCACTAGATTCCAAGTTGTGATGTCTTAAACAAGGTAGGCCTTGTGGCCAATCATTCCACACAGATGGCTAGGCTACCCTCCAAAACCAAGCCCTACTTTTGTTTTTGGGAAGATGGGTACGTCCCAAACATGATGGATCAAGAGTGGTGTGTTCACTTGGAGTCGCTTGTCCTTGCAGACAGGGCCGTCGACCGAGCCCATCCGTTAGTTGGAGTGCGTTCGCCAGGCCGCCACTGCCTGCAACCAGGTGGAAGGAAACAACTGACCCCAGCCGCCTCCATTCGCGCTTGATTTTGCTCACAAACATCCTCCCATACCTGCATGTACTAATTATCTCCCATATATTCCCATATCTCTCTTTGCTTCTGAGAACCTGCTTGTATAGCACTTAAGCTTCGGCTTCTCGCAAAGACTAGTTGTAATCATCGGCGGAGATGCACCATGTTTTTTCACGACCGTTTCCGTACCTTGCAACAAAACTGTAAGACTCAAGACGCGCGAATCTCCTTCAACAACAGCTATTGAGGCAACTGTGTTTTTGTTTTAAAGATGGTGTAGTCTAGATGCAGATCTTGTTGAACTGACTCCTGTTTCTTACCTCCATGACAGGTGGTGCCTGATTGCTTAGTTATGTTGCGAAACAAATGTTCTTTTCCACTAAGGGTGCCCCTGCCTTCAGGAACTCTTGTGGATCTTTGAAGGGGGATACCGCTTGTTCACTTTCTTCAACAACTCCTGTAAGCTGTGAGTACTGAGTACAGGAGTCACTGAGAGGGTGTGCGGAGAAAAAGAGTGGAAGTATGCAAGCAACGAACAAGGATAAAAGGACAATGAATTGCATTCAAGTTTTGTGACTCGTGGTCATCGGAACAGCGGAAGGTTTTGTAAGAGAAATAAGTTTGGGGTGTGCGCAGTGTCATGACATGTCATGTGCACGGTGTGGTACCCCGGAGGGGCGCCCCATTTGTAAATTGTATCCATGGAATTGCATTCCAAACATACATAAGAAGGTTGCTAGGTTCTTGCTTAATTAAGGGGCTGGAAACACAGCTTTGGGCTGCCTATTTTACACTGCAAACATGAAAGTAGTAACCGGTAGGCCTGTCCAATCAGTCCAGTCATCATTTTAACGGTCTTGTTTTTATTCGTTTTGAGGACATCATCGACAACTTTGTTTGCATGCTGAAGTTGCAAAGTCAGCTGACCGGGGAGCGCAGCCGCTCCGTGTTTTTGGCCATGTGGAAGGGGGAGAAACTGCGACAATCGGTGGGAGCACCTTGGCTGAGATCATCAAGGAGAAACTGCACATTTATTCATAACAAGTTGGATCTGAGCCTTCAAGCTCATACATTCTAATTAGTGCCTCGTTGCCCACCAACAATCACACACAGATTGGTTTCTGAAACTTGCCAAGGCACGAACTGAACTTTCCATGACACTCAGTTTGGGAGCAACTGTTGTGACCATTTGGTTGTCGACGTTGAATCGTTGTCCAAACATGTGCTTGCCAAATGTCCAGTTGTTTGTAACATCAAAGCCCTGCCTTTGGATCCACATGATGGCACCATTGCTTTCTTGGAACTATATATTATATATCCCTATATATAGATTGAACATGTGCATGAGATATGTCCATCACCAGTCTTGTCTCACCAGGGCTGCCGAAGGTGCCAACCGACTGTTCTGACTCACTGAGGGCTGCCATAGAAGTTGCACACCACCCAAGGTTCTACAGTCCTACAGGTTGCCCTCAGTTGTTAATCCGTACCAAATGTAGATTCCAAATGCAACATGTTGTGGAACATGCCACATGGTTGTGCTGAGCTGTTTTCTCCGGAGCTTGTTCTTTGCAAGGTTGGCTGGGTCATTTGTGTGTCTTAGTCATACTGACACAAGGCTGGCTCGTCGACGTCACTGAATAGATTAATCAGAAGTATGCTCAGCGCGATTTGCATATATTCACATATATCATATCTCTCTTTTGAGTCACGCCATGTCCTTTCTTCCAACAACCGCAGCTTTCAAAGTGGCACAGAAAGGTTCCTTTGAGACTTCCTGAGGTGGCCAAGCTCTTTCAGGAGGTGTCGCCGGCTTAGCTGAAACGAACAGCCATACTAGCGACATTGGATGTGATGAATGAACAGCCCAATAGACATGCAGCCGGAATACGTCACCAAGCCTCCGCACAAGTGCTTTTGCAAAAAAACATGGGCCACAAAAGAGCAAACCAAAGGCGAGAAAGTGTGGTGCAAAACTTTACAAAACAATCCGTCAGTAGAAAGATGTTCTAACATGGGCAAACGTGAAATTTCGTTCGAAAAATGATTGGAGCCTGAGAGGCAGTCAAAATTGTGGGATTCCCTATGTTTGTTCGGGTACTGAACTTTGGTGACTGCTTTCTTCTTCGTGCGTCACGAGTCACGAGTGTTTTTTTTACTGACATGGACAAGACAGGAAACGATCCAGATGCAGTTGCTACAAACGAGCCGTTTTCCGTTTTGTCTTCAACAGTGGCACAGGTCTTTTAAATTGTGTTTGCTTGACATTGGCTGTCTCGCTTGCTGAGGAACAACCACAATGACCCTCCCAACTTTGTGATGCACAAGGTCAAAGATGCCGTCCAGGTTGTCAAAGAGGATGCTTTGGCATGGAGAACGGCTCTGAAGAAGGACCAGCCAACGAAGAAAACAGAAATGCATCTTGTTTTGTCCAATAATCGCTTGAGTGGAACCGATTATGGTGCAGGAACAGGCATTGAACAGTTTGCATCACCTCTTTTTGTGGTTTCACTCCACAACACGTTCTTAAAAACGCCCTGCGCTTGTCTCACAGGGTTCTTCTGGACAGGTGGTTTGTCTCGAGGCCTTGATCCCTTGTTCAGGAGATTACGTCTATCAATCGAGCGAAGGCGCGGCAAGACTTCCTGATCCAGTGCAACCTGGACAGTTGTCGGGAGGGCAGAGCTCGATGTTTGGCCAGGTTCAAGGGAGTTGAATCAAAAAATGCAATGTAAAATAATGGAAGACTCTAGAGTTTCACTCACCAACCTATTTTATGTAAATGTTATGTAATTTGAGATGTTAGGATCCAATCCAATACCTTAATCGGCATTTTAGAGAGAACCTTGTGTTTTTGCTACCGCAACGTAAAATGAGACAGCAAGTAAGTAGTACTCTCCAGAAGGCTCACGACTTGGGGGATTCGGAGGTTGATTTCGTGCCCAGGTATTTGCCAAGGTATTCTGGTCTTCTTCTCCACCACCCTCTCCCTGCTCATCTCTTTATTTCTGAGACCATACGTTGAGAAGAAATTCATGTCTGGTTCAGAGTCCACTCCACCCGGCGAGTGAGCTAGATTTGCAAAGCACCTCGGGAGCTGCTCGAGGCTGATGTACTACACTATACTGTACTAACATGTATGTTCCTCAAAGAACCTGGGAAGCTGCGAACCATGTTGAAAGCGACTCTTCCTCGAAGTTGGCTGCTTCTATGATTGACTCTTAGGACACGAACTGCAGACCCTCATCTCCCTGGAGAAATGTTTATAGATGTGTCCTTTTGCTTGGCGGCCCATTTCAACCAGCAAAATAATATAGAGTTGCAAGGAGGCTAGTCGGCGATAGATGTTCAAAGATTTTTGGAAGAGAAAACATCCAACGACTTGTAGCCGGGAGGGCGGTTTCTTTCCTTTTGCAAGGTGGGTGCCCTTCAGAATGTTGTTTTGCTTGGCAACGAAGATGTGTTTTTCTTACCCTGGGCCCAGGGCTGATCCAAATCAGCCTACGTGCAAGCAAAGCAAAGCATCAAACATTGTAAATTCTCCACCCGTCACCAGTCCATCGAGCTCACTACAATTTTCTATGGTTTCTTCAGCATCTTCAGCCTTTGGCATGCCATCACTCTCAAGTCGGACCTGCAACTCTCTCCACTCAGCCCCAGCCTCGAGTGCCATTTCGGAAGCTCTTTGGACACCGAGCAGTTGCGGAGTTTCCGGCCGTAGATGGTCATTGACCAGACCAGACCAGACTTGTGACTGGAGGCTCAACTAGCTTTGACAGAAGCAAATGAACACTTCCCGCTTCAGAGACCTTTGCAACCAATCATCCTCCAAGTGTCACAGGTCCATCAGCTGTTTCCCTGCAGTGCTCCAGAGGACATTGCAGCATCGATCTTCAATCACGCGAACTCCTGAGCGTCGTTGAGTGCTGAAAAACTGTGAGCATCATCATGGCAACCGTTGCCTTCAGCCTTTCGAGGCCTTTCAGATTGTTCAACCCACCTGGATCAGGCCGCGAGCTCCGTCGACCCGCCTGTCTCGCTGGGCTCACCGGAGCCACACCGTGGACGTGCGGAACCGGTGGCTCGGCCCAGGTGCGGTCCCACTCAGACCCAAGGGGTCGCTGAGACGAAAAGAAACAGCCAACACGTATTGAACAGGTGCTAGGCCATATTTTAGGTACGCGTGAAAATGGTGAAAGCTGGAAATCCAGCGAGATTGATGTGATTCAGACTTTGCAAACCGTTGCAAACTACATTGGAACCTGGAACATTTCCATTTTGTTGCATTTGATTGTGAGAGGTGCCATGCTGGCATGCATTCAGCCTCAGTCGTGCCTAACTCTTGGCCAGGTGATGCGCCAGCAAGGAGAATGGGAGATCATGCCAGGAAATGCTGGGAATCAGGAAGAAAACAAAGGCAAAGCGCGCCTAACGCCATTGCTTGGATTCCCTTCATTCATGGGAGGATGCCTGTCTTGCATGATGTCCGAACCATTTGAGCAGCTGTGATCTATCGGTATCGGCCTCTTTGGGCTCAGCACAAAGAGGCTTGACAAAGAAGTTCATGTTTCCTAGAGCTTTAAGCAAGCATAAGCAAGCATAGGTCCAGGAGGCATCCGGAAGCCGTGTGTGTTCGATATTCATCCAGTTTGAAGAGGCCAAACGTCGGGTGCACCGGCCGGGGTGACTGGGCGAGACCCACGAGACTGCCATGGAGGGTGACGAGACGTGACACAGCCGCCTGGCATTGTGCTCACCGTTGGGGAGAGAAGTTTTGTGTGTTGGGAGGAGGAGGAGGAGGAGGAGGCGGAGGAGGCCCTGGAAACCTCATTGTGTTTGAGAGGGTCACATGATGTTGTTCATGTCCACTCTCAGTGTGATGTTCACTCGCAGAGCTGGAGGGTGACTGGTTGGTGCCATTGGGTACGGAATAGTGAATAGTACGGACATGCCATTTGGGTGCTGTGTCCAAACTGCCCCCAGGTCGCTTACGAAAACCATATATGATTCGTCCAAGTATCGCTTGCGTTGAGTTCGGTTATAGCAGTCGCGGTTCTTTGAACGACGAACGGTGAACATCTCAGCCCGATCTATCATAATGTGGATGAAGGCTCTGGGCGAGGCAAACAGTTCGACTTCGGCAGCCAGGTGAGAATCTCTCGTGACACATTGATGTCGTTTCTGATTGTTTCTTAGGAAAAGACACTCGTATAGTATGGTTCCCACCTTGAAAATCCACAGCCCACAGCTTCCCGGTCCCTCACGATCTTTTTCAGCTGCCGGGCCGGATGGGCGAGCCCATGTTCCCCAGGACATGGGGAGTGGAAACTCTGCGCTGAAGCACCAGCTGACCGACAAACAGGTCTCCGCGGAATGGCCGAGTTGAATATCAGGATTTGGTAACATTTTGGAAAGCTGGAAGCTGCAAGCAGACGACTCCATGTGTCCACCTTACTCCTCAAGATTCGGGCCAAACCTCCAAAGAGCACATGGCTCAGTGCAATGGAAATCACCTTTGGATGGACTTGAGGAATTGCTTATCAATACCGAGCCTGAAATTCAGTTCATTCACTTGCAACACTTCTTGACTTCCCAATATCATGGCGGACCCTAGAGGGGTATTGCCGGGGCGGGACGTGCAGAACGAAGCCGACTGTTCAGCTGACGATCCACCGGTCGAACATGTGGAGGAACCCAACCTGAGGAGATGGTGATCGGAAGCTCCGGAGGTGTTGGAGCTGGGTTTCTTTGGTTTGGGGCTCCACCTTGGGTGTTTGGACCTTGGACCGGGGTAGCTGTTGGTGTTGGGATGTTCCGGGTCTCTCCCAGTGCCATTTTGTATGTGTTTCATCATCTTGGAGTCTTTTTAAGACATGAATGTGGAGGATGCAAAGAACCGACTCCTGTGCAGAGGATGCATCCGCTGAGCTCACCCAAGATTGCCCGGGGCCTTGATTGAGATCAGGGTCACTTATGTCACTTCGACTGGATGAATTTGAGGGACTCAGGCGCTTTGGGCACTCTCTTAGAGCGGCTGGAGGTTGTGAGTTGGCTACAGGTTCCGGCTGACGCCTGGCTGGGACCCTGCTTGTGGCGTCTGACTGACATCCGAATGGGTGAGGTCCAGGCGGCCGAGACTCCAGCGGAGCTATGGAAGACAAGAAATCCAGAGGCGCTATGACAGCTTCGTGAAACGGATGTGTTGTGTTTCTATGTTTGTTCAAGAGTTGCATTTGCGCCTGCCCCGTTGGTTTTGGTCTGGTCCTTTGATGTCATTTAGACAGCCCTGTATAGTCAAGTCCAGAGATGACAGGCCTGGGTCATTGAGCATGATTCATTTACAACTTACAACGCAAGAGTTCCGAATTCACCAGTGAAAGGTGCCAGAAGTGATCCGGAAAGCTTGGCTGCTACCTGGACAAAACTAGTTTGCAAGACTTGTCCGGGGCAGGGAGCTACTTGTCTTTTGTTTTGCATATATGGTTTTTTCTTCAAGTGTTTGCCACCTTTCTTTGAGAGGTTCCAACAAATTTGGGGCATCCACTGTCCTTTGTTGCCTTTGGTTGGAAATTGCCGACCCTTGCACAGTCAGAGGCAAGGTGTTTCCCTTGGATAGGTTTTACTGTACAGCAGGTATATATTTTTATGTAGAAATGTTGCTGTTAGGCTATTGAAATGCTCTTTGGCTCGTGCAGGCCATAGAAAATGGGTAGCAAATATAGTTTATACAGTATCAGTATCCATCGACTCTAAACCCACACCGACATGGCAAATCACTGATCACATCGTACGCAGCTTGAACCAGCAAGTCCCAGCTCAGCTGCCTTGCTACCCTAGCAACAACAGGTCAATTCAATTCCATTTACACAGGCCACGACAGGGAACGGTGAACACAGAAATGGATCCGGTAGCGACTCCAACACCTTTTGCAGAACGAGCTAGTGCCTCTCAATGGAAGAACGAGGAAACGTGGTATTTTGTGAACGACCCTGCCCTTTGTGCAAAGCTAGGAGCTGCTGAGGATAGGCATATTATGAACATATATGAACTGCTTTTTGAATGTTTCATATATGACTGCTATTCTAGAATTCTATAAATATATAGCATTCTGATTGGTCAACTAGCTAAGGACCTGAGGTGCCAGGCTGAGACGATGTGGAAGTCCAAGCTGGGAAATGTGGAGCTCCTGGACCGGCAGAGCCTTTTGGAGTGCAGAGATTGTTCAGGCGAATTTGGGAAGGAGGACTGGTATAAGGAATCATCAGCCGATTCCAACACAGTCGGGCTCGGTCTCTGTGGGGTCATGGATGGTGGCCGGAGGGCGGCCTGCGAATCTCAAGGCCTCCACTCCAACCCAAAGGACCCGTAGGACGGTGGCGTTGGCGCTAAGGCTACGTCGAACTGCTGCAGTCCGTCGGTCACACATTTCAGGAGGCGAACATTCTTCTGAAGGAGACTTGATGGGCTGGAAGAGCTCTGAAAATATGCTGACAAACTACTTGGTTGATGTGGTGTTCTAGGCAAGTGTATAGTTCGCAATTCTTTTTTTGGGGGGGCTATGATTATGTAGGGGGTGCAGCACAGACAGAAAGAGAGTGTGTGTGTGTGAGAGAGAGTGTCATAGCAACTAGCAACTTGTTTCCTTGCAATTGTGCTCCAGGAGTGTCCAGGCAGCTCGTACATACGCAGCTCGGCGGGGGGTGGTCAGTGGTTTTTTCTCACTGAAAACACACCATGTTCGCTACACAGCAAGCAGTTTGTGTGAAGAGCCACTCGATCAGCGGTTGAGGTGTGAAGGATTTCTTGGACTTCCTTTTCGCCTCGCCAAAGGTGCACGACTGTTGGCGTTTGAACAGCTTAGATGGAGCAGATCTAGAGCAGAACCTGAGGCAAAAGCCATCGCCCGCACCGTCCTGTAATATCCTGCATACATCGGCATGCATTCATGTTTTTTTATGCATTGTCATATTTGTTGGAGTGTGGTTACTGCTAGGTACATCATGTTACATTTTTTAATTCTTGTGATTCATCCAAGAACTGGTATGCGCTGGCAGTGTTTCCTGCAGTATTATGTTGTGCCGTCGCAACAACAATGCTATGTTGATCGCCGGTGGAGGTGGACAAGGAAGATGTGCCGACATCACTGCAGAGCAGAGATGACGGAGAGAAGACGGAGAAGGCATCGATGCAGATAGCGCAAGCCTCATGTGAAGTGAGGAATTCGAGCGATCACCTGCAGGCCATGATCGACTCGTTACAGGAGGCCCTTGCTGCATCAGAGAAGCGTGCAGATCAGCAGGCCCTGCGGAGGGCGAGCAGTGCGAGCGCGCCTAACTGGGCCTAACTGAAGGTTGTCCCCCACCTGAGTTCAATTCTTCTGAGGGCAGCAGTATATTAGTTGTTTCTATGTTTGCTTTGGCCACAGCTCCACAAGCGATGTATGTTAAAGGAAAGAGCTGTATTCTTTGGAAGATCCCTTGCTACAATTCCAATCAGATAGTGTAGTTCCACTTGTGAGACAAGATCACATCTTTTTGCAGAATCATGATGGCATGTATGTATAATATATATATATATTGTCCTCCTCGTGGCCATGTTTCACGCTAACTACAGTACATCAAACACTTTCATGCCCCGATATGCCCCGCCAATTTGGGCAACCGTGTTGCACGTTTGAGCTTCTAACAGAACAGGTGTTGGTTCATCCGGCTCAGTTCGTTTGAAATTGATCAGTGGTGTAGTTCGAACTTGATCGATGCATTTCACGACGGTGTCGGATGAGATCTTGAAGCGTTGAAGGCCCAGTTGCTCGAAGAGCTTGCAGAAAAGGTTCGGCAGCTACAAGCCACCCAGGCAGGGATATATACAGAGTGTTGTGGGAGTTTGCAATGTTACTAGTAGTGACAGGACCAACACTGTAGTTGTGATGTAATTTTCTTTTCTCAGACGTATGTGCCTTGTTGTGGGCGTGAATCCGTCAAATGTACTCCTCCATCGAAGGCGATCATAGCCCTAAGCCAGGAGGATTGGCCTGCTGAAGTCCAAGCCACACCAAGTCGTCAAAAAGATCAAAGAAGGGTGGTGTAGGATATGCTGCTCTTCCCCAGTGTTGTCGCGACTTGGTGGGTTGTGACTTAGGCGTTGTTCCAGAATTCTGTCCAGCGTGTCCTTTCCAAATGCTGATTGTCGTATTTTTTTAGAATAATAACATGTTCTCGTATGTTCCAACTGTTCTTTTGTAGCAATGACACACAAGACGGACCCATCATAACCACGGGGAACTCCCTCTCTCCCCTATCCCCCGTCTCCCTTTGTCCCTCTTTGCGTCGCTTCTGCTGTCTCCCTCTTTCTCTCCCTCGCCCTGTCCCTCTCACTCTCCCGCTCCTTTTCCTTAACCCTTTTGCCGCTCCTTCTGCTTTTGAAACACTCCCAGTAAAAGTAAAACACAAGACTGTGTGGAAAAAACAACGCATCTTCACCCTTCTTCTGCGAGCCTGTTGTGTACAAGTATTGTGTGCCACTGCTTGTTGTTGTTGTTGTTCTATTGGCACCAATTTTTGGGCAACTTCACCCTTGAACAAAGAGCAACTTCATCATTCGGCACTGCCGTCCCGTGGGGTCACAAAATGCTGCTCCAAACGCGGAGTTTCGAAAAATGTGTAGCAAGGTTTCAGTGATAACTCCCATACTGCACAGGGTGCTGACAATGCACCAACCACGTCGACGGGTTTGTTCAAAGTTTCAGTCAGATTGCCTATGTAGTAACTTCTCGCCTTGAGCGCGGTCAACAGCTGTGTTGCATAATTAGTGATCTGGCTGACCCCTGAGCTTGGCGATAGAGGCTTCACAAGACTGATTGGCTCAAAACATGTTCTCCCTCTTTTCTTTGCTTCCTTTTCCGCACTTTTGCGACTTTGATAGCTACTTGTGCCCTCCCTTGTCCTTCAGTTATTTCCATCTTCATCTTTAAAACCTGTGTGCGCTGTCTTCTATATATACATTTATTTGCAGTACCCTACTTCATGAACCGCTCTGCCCTCTCCTGCATATTAAAGGCCCTTCCCTTACCCTCATGCAATGCATTGCTTTCCACTCCTCATTCCTGAATTTGCTCTTCAAACGCTTTTACCCGCTTACTGCTTCCCTCTCTAGATTCCAGAGTTTCAGTTCGAGAGGAGAGGAGAGGAGAGGAGACATATTTTTTTTCGACATTCCATCTCGCCGAGTGCTGTTGAGAATTTATAAGCACCGCAGGCTAAACCTTGGAGTGCAAGCTTGCACTTTGTTTTGCCTCGCGATAGCCAAACAACGACCATCAACAACCCATTCGTGTGAGGGCGGCACCCCGAGTCATCAGTCACAAATCGATGGCCGCTCATGAGGTGAATTGACCATTGATCCCAATCCAAGGTCGGACTTTTTCCGCATTTAAGGTCCAGCGTTGTTTGGTGTCCAGGGACTTTCCTCATCAACCAATTGAATGGTTCCTGGACATCAATATGTTGTTTCCATTCCACATTGAGGTGCGTTAGCCTATGATTTTCTGTTCTGGACATTTGATAACAGTTGGTGCTGAACTGTTTTTCTTTTTGATGGAATGTTGGAAGCATCGGAAAGACTCCCACATGGTTGAGTGCAGGCAAGTTCAATGCAAAGGTTGTCCACCCACCACCTCCCCACAGGGTGCAAGTAGGCGAGGTTCGGGCATTATTTTCTCCAATTTATCATATCAGTATCGAGCTGCTGGTTCTTGATTACCAGCGGAGGCCCACAAACAAGATGCATTGTCTCCGGCATCACTGTTGCTGGACAAGCAGAAGGAGATGATGGAGCAAGCTTTGGCCCTGCAAGAACAGTTTGAGGAAGATGAAGCACTGGAGGAAGATGAGGAACTCCAGGAAGAAGGGGGGTCAAAATTAAAAGAGGAAGAGAAAGAGGAAGAAGTGCAAGACGAAGAGGAAAAGGAAAAGAGTAGCAGGCGTAGAGAGGTTGATCAGGCAAAGCACTGGAGATTCCAGGGCATTGCTTATGGAGCCTCAGGAAACTTCAATGAGATGAAACAATTGCTTGAGAAAGCCTTGGCATTGTTTCACAAGCACTATGAAGAGGAGCATCCAGAGATTGCATTAACATTGATATTCCTTAGCAAAGCCTACCAGTCTCTGAAAGATCATGACATGGCGAAGAAGGAGCTTTACGAGGTCGGAAAGATCTTGTCATTCCACAAGAGGCTGATTTTACCGCTTCGCTTCACAGTGAAAGAGGGCCCTTCAGTGCTGCGCTACATCGAGGAGGCGACATTTCTAGGCCGTTTCAAAGCAGGAGCCAAATTTATCTATGCATCCTACCCAGGCAAATTCAAAGGTGGGTGGCACATACTCGTCAGTGACGATGGTGAGTACAGTGAGGAGAGTGTGGCCTGCGTCTACTGCTGCACACGACAAGAAGGTTTGGGTGAACATGTTCCTGACCGAAGGGACTCCAAAGCTCCCTGTTACTGTCGGCGGATCTATGGAGAGGGGAATCCTAAGAACAGGAATCACATCACGCATCTTGGCCTGGATTTGTTCTTTTCGCAACATGTTTCCCAAATTCAGCAGACCATGTTCCTTTCTCTTTAGGAACTTCGATAATTCTGAGGTTTGGATACCTCTTCGAAGTTGGGCCGCCGTACGATGATGCGGAGCACATGAAGAATGCCCGAGAAACTGCAGCTGCCATGAATGCCGTTCTTGTCCGCAAAGATGCCAGTCCAAAGGAATACCGGGAGGCCGTTGAAAAAGCCAAAAAAGCGTGGTCAGATCATGGTAAACGTCCGGCTTGGGGGTGCAAATGGTACGATGTGTCTTTTCTGCAAGAAGCTTTGCCGTGTTCCTGTGTTCCTTCAGTACTTGTAGGTGTTGAAATGAAACATAAGAATTTTGAAGTGCAGCTAAGGTGTGGTTCGACAACATGGAAAAGGGAGTGGATACAGGACAGAAACCGGTAGTCGTTTACTATCCCAATATGGTTGGCCTGGGCAAGGTCTCAATGGAAGACTTGTCGAACCCTGACGTGCCTTTGTGGGATTCGGACTCCTCAAACCGGGGTCTAGGAGGATCCCAGAAAGTGGAGGTCGCGACCATGGACTGCATGAGACAACAACATGGTCCTGGTTCTGCCAGGGATTACATCGAGATGGATGTTACAACATTCATGAATCTGTCTCTGTCTGTCGATGATAGAGTTATAGGCTGGAACGAGGACAAGGGCAAGTGGATGAGCGGAGTGATCACAAGGAAAGGAGAACTTGAGCCACGTAACAAAGAAGACGCGTGTTTCAGGTGGACAGTGCAGGTCCATGAGTCTGAAGAGTGTTTCGAAACCAGCCGAATCCGACCTGACAAGGGTGAAATGGATGGGCTTGAGGAGAAGTTGGTACAGAAAGATTTCGTCAGATCATTGAAAAAGTCCCTCCCAAAAGGTCAGCAACTCATCAGCACCTGTCCCAGGAAGGAATGGCTTCAGGATGGCGCCCCTGCCATGACCTTCGACATTCGAAGCCAAGATGTTGCATCAATCCAAAAGCTGTGCAGCGATGTCCTGTGTGGTGATTTCGAAGTCTCCTTCAACAGAGCTGCCTTCCAGCATCAGACAAACACGGCTGGCTCTCCTGGTGAGAAGATTGACTATTGGCAGCTGCAGGTCAACAAGACGGAGTTTGTGAAAGCCTACAAAAGCATGCTCATGAGCTCGACGAGACTCACCCCACATCAACAAGATCGACTCTCCAAGCTAGATGGAAGTCAACATTTCCACTTGAAAGCAGCCGCTGGTTCCGGAAAGACCTTTGTCGCCGCTCACAAGGTGGTCAACACTTTGCTTGAGAAAGATGAAGGACGGGTGTTATTTGTAGCTCCCTGCAAGTCGCTGTGCCTTCATTTTGTGCGATGGCTTTTGGCAATGGATACAGGATTTGGTGCTGAAGAACGTATTTGCTCTCGCCTCAAACTGATGTGCGAACCCTACAAGAGCTTCATGACGGTGAGCGTCACTGACAAGAAGCAACTGCAGCTTCCAGAAGAGAAAAGCTCCGTCGAAGCACAGTTCATCCTTGCCGTCGTAGATGAGGCTCACGACATATTCCGCTCAGATGTCGATCAGGGATTGCTGAAAGAAACTTTGCGGAGATCCAATCAATGTATCCTACTTTCCGACCTATCTCAGTCTTCCGCGTGGGATCAGAATTACCATGACCTTGGTCACTATGACGAAGTCTACCTCACGCAGAATGTGCGCAGCACCGAGCGAGTTGTGCTGGGCGCAAAGCCGTTTCAATTGAGTCCCGAACATGAGCAGGGAGATGTGGTTTCCATCGGCTCCAATGGCCCTCCGTTGAAGACCTACATCTTTGAGAGAGAAGAGACAGGATCGCCACCATTCCAAGAATACTGCCGGCACATCATAGCAGCTCTCAAACATGTCGTGTCTTCCTATCCGGGCCTGAGCTTTCACCACAACGTAGCCATCATTGTACCAGACCTTGATTTCCTCAATAGCTTTCAAGAGCATTTGAAAAAGGCTCTCAAGGAAGAGATTGTACAGACGACGCTTTCCAAAAGATTGGGCCTCATCAGCTTTGAGGAGTCGCTCTCCTACCTGGTCTCGCCCGATGCAGCGGACGAGGGCTCCATTGAGGAGCTTATTTTGGATTCCATCGGCAATGCCAAGGGACTAGAGCAGCTCATTGTTATAGTGGTTGGCATGGACGCTCAAATCAAATCCCAAGGCGCTTGGGACTGGGAAACTGTAAAAGGTCCAAGCAGAATTGATAACTCATGATGATGTTTGATAACTCCATATACAACTCCCATCACGAATCCTCCTTGAAGCCTTTTTCAGAAGCGGACTATCTTCCATGCAGTTGCTATACCCAAAGGCTGTACGTGTGCTACTTGCTTGCCAACGTGTTTGAACCCAACCATGCAACATCATGCAACATCTTCCATCAGGCTGTACGAGTGCTGTTTGTCTCCATCTTCCAGAATGCACTTCTTTGAGCAAACGGCTGTTTTTGTTTTTGGGTGCTGTTCGGGCTCTCATTGGTTTTATGTATGGTTTGTAAAATCCAATCGTGCAGCATCATGCAACAATGGATGTTTTCGAGTGTTCATCACCCTGTGAGTTTTCCTCTGCACAGGTGATGCACATGACTTGGCAACACGTGCCCGCTTGTACCAAAGCATCACGCGGGCTCAGTTGACCGCGGTTGTGGTCAATGAACTTTTACCAGATGGATGGCTTGCACATTTGGCTACATGCAAGTTGAAAGAAGGCCAGTTTCAGAAGCAAGAAGCACACATGGAATCCGATACAGCGGTGGCCACCAAATTGGTGCAAGAGATTCAAGCAAGGGGGCCTGAAGAACGCCCTGCACACAGAGAAGATCCACCCTTGGAAACTATTGCCACTGCTTTGCCGAATGGTTCGGAAGAACCCGCTGCCTCAGCTCCTTCACGATCTCCAAGCAAACCTTCAGCTCCCCCAACTGAGCAGAAAAAGACAGTGATCGGGATGCGTCCCAGTTCCGTGTGGGACACCAGCCAAAACAGCACTCCCTCGCCAATCTACGACCTGAAGTTCGACCCTATGAAGCCCCAATCTGCATTCAAGATGCTGAAGTCTCAGCTGCGCCAAGTTCCTCTACCCGCCACTTGTCCCTGCCCCGAGGATGTTCTCGTTTGCTGGTACAACTCGGCTGATGAGAAGCTCAGTGGTGGCGAACTCCAAAGACGGAAGCGGCTCTATTTGTTCCACCGCAACGGCGCCTTTCTTCGGAGAGAGGATTTCTGGTTCTTCGCCGCCTCGGAGGCGTCGGAGGACCCGGAGCTTGCCGCCCGCGCCGTTCGGGGCGCTACCAGGTACATTTTCGAGGGCCGCTACGCGGTGGCACCGGCCGAGCGGCGGGTGACGGTCACCTGGGATCGACGTGCTTTTGCCGACTGCACCGGAGCCGCCGCCGCACCCAGAGAGGTGCGCTTCGGGCCGTGGGGTGCATTTGGTCGTGGTGATGGGTTCGTCTACGACCTGGAAGAGTTGTCCGAAAGGTCAAAGAGGCCGGGCGTGAAGCCGTTGGCCTGGCCGGATCACCAGCTGTCGGAAGAGACGTTGAAGGATTTGGAAGAGCAAAGGAAGAAGGATGGGTCTTGGAATCCGGAGAATCTATGGTTCTTCACCGCAGACCTTGGTGGACGACATCGTGGACATGTATAATTACATCAGATCTCAAAACCAAAATATTGTTTCACGGCCTTTCGATGCCTGAATTGAGTCGCTGCAGCGCAAAGGCGTAGCAGATTAATGGATCAGGTCCCTGGCCTACCCATTTCTGCAAGTTCACCAGCCAAGAACATGGGTTTCAGGGGTTATAAGACACATTGTGCATAAGACATTGTTTGACCTATTTTGTGTCCTTCATTGTTTGGGGCGGCTGGGGATTTGCGTCAGTTCGCTTGGCAAGTGAAGAAGAATGATTGCAGAGCATGCTGGAATGTTGAGTTGTGCAATACTTGTGTGCGCTGACACCGCATTCTTGATCGTTGATGTTCATTGCCTCACTTCTGAGTGGTGTGCTCAAGCGGGCCGTGGCATTTCTATGCATTTCTCATGTTCTCAAGCTGTTGTGACATTTCGAATGACCAAACCAAAGGTGCTGAAGCCGAAACGAGTAGAGAAAGATGATTAACAAACGCCCACGTTACATGGCGTAGAACCCACGAACGATTGGGGAGTTCTCACAGTCTAGTCGAGTCCCGTAGGCCGATGGTGGAAACATGTGGAAACCTTAAAAGCTCCCATCTACAAGTCAAGAGTCAAGGTGGACTTGAGGCAGAAAATCAATCAATTCCAACCACCTTCCAAACAATTCAGCCAGCTGATGTGCTGGTCCTGTCAGGACTGAGGCACTGCTTATTGATGTCAAGTTGTTATGTTAGATGCTTTTGCATGATCTTGTTTGCGTTTGTCTCATCTCATTGTGTTCGAACGGCATCCATTCATTGTGAAAATAAGCTCACAGAGCACGTGTTCGAACTGCATCCATTCATTGTGAAGATAAGCTCACAGAGCACACACCCTTGCTGCTTCATTTCTTGATGTTCAACCAGGAGATAAGTGGAATGTCGTGGAGCGCCAACGACTGAGGCATTCTTGAATGTGTTTCAATGAAATGTACGTCATACTTCTGTCATTTTATAGATTTGAACATGTTCAATAGTATAATGTTCATGCATATTTTAATATGATATGTGCAGCGTTGTTATTGTTTGGTGATTTGTCATGAGGCATGATTCGGCATGATTGAGCTCTGAGCAACCTAACCTTTTGCATGCTTTCGCCACTGGCAGACGAAGCCATCGGCCTTTCGCCTTTGCTTTTCGCCTCGACTTCACCGAGCTGCCCCGAAGCTGCGGCTGCCAGGCACCGAGCTCCGTCGTGATGCCGTGGAATGTCGCTCCGTCGTGGAATGCCGGGGGGTCAATGCGACGCAACAAGGCCGGTGTAGGTAGCGCCAGGTAGCTAGAGCCTGGCACCGATGTCTTCGGATCGACTGGTGGCGCTGCACCTGGTAGGAGAATTTGAACAATGCTGGAAAGGCATCAACAGAGGTCAAGCACGCCTCGGTTGGCAGGTGGAGTGTTGATGGTTTTGCTTGGTCCTGAGTCCTGAGAATCATTCAGGTTGGTCCTTCAGTGTCCCAGCGGTTGAAACATTCCTGGCACAACTATATGCACCTGAAGGCTTCCTGCCCTTTCAGCATACCAAGGGGATCAAAGGGGTGTGTTATGTTTTCCTGGCCGCAGACAAACAGCTCACACCGGCTCACGCCCTGTGTTGGTGTCGTGGAGCCATTCACCTGGTTTGGGAGTGTTCTTTTACGTTCTTTTCGTTTGAATGCACGTTCCTTCAGGTCTCCAACCCAAATGAAGGTTGCCTGAAGATGCCTGAAGTGACTGTTGCTGTGCGGTCGGAGCATGAGCCTTCTCACACGAGTCCGAATTTGGTTGACCCCTTTGCAACCCCGACAAGTTGATGCTATTGCAAGACTTGATAGTGGGCACCATCCAGAGAAGCCGCAGGTAGGCTGCCCAGTAGGCTTTGTTGGCGTCAATTTCAATGATTGTCTGGTTTGATCCAGGGGAAGATGCACCAGAGCCTTTGTTGCTCACTCACTGGCCTGAGCCCAGAGGACGACCAACAGGCACAATGTCGAGTGACAGTTTGGGCTCGGGCATGTCTTTTGAATCTGCTTGAGTGATGTTGAATGTGATCAGGTGTGGGTGATCGGCGTCCTTTCTGCATCCTCATTTGGCTCCAAGGAGTGTATTAGCATCAACAGAAGCTGGTGCCTCAGTTTGAGTTGCTTGATGCCTCGTGGTTGTGCATTTGAGTGCCAATGCCTCCACCGGGTCTACCGTAGTCTACCGCTCGTAGGAAGTCGTTGCGTCGAGATCAGGCACCCTTGCAAGGATGGCAGACGAAATATCGTTTGAGCGGCTTTGAGACGTGCTTGCGTTATGTTTGTGCTTTTTTTGAGACGTGATGCGTGCGACAGTCTGAGCGTTGTGAACGACCGACTCTTTGGCTCCACAAAGCCGACAATTTGTTAATCCAACTCATGCAAGCCAAGTTTTCCAACGCGTAGGAGGTATTTGCAAGTTCAAGTCGGTAAATTCTTCGAAGGGAGGACTCCCTTCATACCACATTATGTTGTGTAATCCTAAAGACGTGAGACTTCTTGATCGTGAATTTGATTCAGCGGGCCATGGGAGAAGGATAGCAAAGTCATGCCGCACTCCGAAAGGCCAGTCGACTATATATATATATATGAGCCTTTGCTTTGCAAATGCCGCAAGCAAGCAAGTTATCCATCGACCTAACCTTTAAATGTAAAATGGAGGAATGAAGACAGCAGCAAGCCTAAGCCACTTGCCAAAAGGTTGCCCTGGTCATGCTTCAAGGGCTCCGCCAGGATACTCATCTCACCATATTTCATCGGGGCCTGAAGGGGGGCTGGGGGATGCTGGGGGCCAAGTTGTCAGATTCTAAAATCATCTAAAGCTCCATCCTCTCTATTGTGACCCTCTCTTCGGCAGGTCCGCTTCCAGTGGCAGGCGCTGCCTGTCTTTGTCGGGCGACGGGGTGAGATGCAGAAAGGTTGAAGCCAAGTGCTATCGGATCTGTCATTTCTTGCAGATGTGGTTTGAGGCCGAAACCAATGGAAAGGATTGACAAGGGGCAACCAGCCAGACGAACAAAACATAAAGATCGATACATTTGGCAACATCGAGGAATACCGGCCAAGTTGTGGAACCCTTGGAGGGAAATGGGACTCTTTTTCTGGAGCCTTTCTTTGGCCCGGTGGAACATCACGAAAGCTTTCATGGAAAACAGCCCCTTGTGCTTTTTGCGCCAGGGCAGATTTGCTGGCAACTCAGGGCCATGGGCCGTTGGCATTTCCTTTCCGTGAGTTGTTCGAGTTTGGAATTTGGGACAGAAGACATCACACCCCAAACGGTTGTGACGCGATCAATTGGATGGTGCAGATTCACGTACTGTACTTAAGAAAGTTTTGAGTTCTGAATGCTTCTGAATGGTGCTCAATTTGCACCTTGGAAGTGTCATCAATGGAACGTTTGACTACTCTGTTCATTTTGCTGGATTTCAAGGCGGCAGCTAGTTGTTATACTGCTATACTTCAGATCAAAACTTTAAAAGATTGGCTCATGTTTGTCGTGTTCTCGCCCAATTTGCACCAGACCACGCTGCTTAGGCCAACGCCAAATGTTCCGAGTTCGACTTCCAGGCGATGCACTTGCAGCTACTGATCGGCGGAATTCAATGTATCGTTATTTTATGATATTTTATGTATTTTTATGTTATGTTTTGACTGGTCTTTTGTCACCTTCGTATATAATGTATATATACATTACTTCATGGTCGTACCCAAAAGGGTGCCTTACTACTTTGGTAGGGAGATCCACCTTCTTCTGGAGTGTTTTTGCTGTGGGAATCGCAAGTCATGGCTTTTCTCCTTTAAATCTACGATAGGCACCTTATAGTTCAGCAGACAATTACTGCAGAGCTTTTCATTCTCGCCTGGGACAGGCCTATGAAGGCCCGAAAGCGGATCCAGAGTGGGCGCTGCAGTCTATTTTGTTTAGTTCTTCAGCTCATGTCATTTGACGATTTGGAGTTTGTTATTCAGCTTCTTGTGGAGAAAAGGCGAGGAGTTTGGTCACGATCACCAGGGTGTTCAGTGAGAAAGTACAAAGTGTCTTGCACCCCAACATGAACACCCAAAGTCCATATTATTATTAGCGGCAGAGAGCGTCCAGATGTAGCTAGCGGCTATAGTATTTTATCAATGCTCATAGGGCCGAGCTCATTTGGCATCCCAAGCCGGCCTACAGCTGCGCAGGAAACAAAAATGAGGAAGATCTTCGATCACCTGCAGGTCTCTGCTTACAATATCTTGAATTCTTCAGGCTGTTCAGTATGAAAAACACCCTATTGAGGTGTTCAACATTCTTCCAGTTGGTTATATATTGGAGAGAGACCAGCATTTCAGCTGCCGTGAACTTGCTCGACAGCTCCGAGTGGAAGCTGACAAACATTCATGGACATTAAACATTATGTTTCTATATTATATTGAAATTCTTGACCCGACTGATCTCAGGAGAAGTCGCCCGTGATGAAAGCATCGAAGATGGAGCGGGCCATGCAACTACTCGGATTGAACCCAACACCTGCCCAGGCGAGTGGGGGTGCAAACCCAGAACTGTGAATATCTGTGAATATTTGGAAATTTGAGAGGTATTGAACCAGGGTGAATCATGTTGAACCACATGTTTTCTTTGGAATTTCTGTGACATTTGTGGATCATCAGGAGGTCAGAGGTTTGGACGGACTCAAACATGTTGCTCATGTTGTTTTTCTAGCCATGCAGTTGCTAACACTGCTTTGTGATTGACACTGACATTGTCATGTTGTTCACTGTTTGTGTTTTACGATCTTTGACAAGTTGAGGGGGAATACCAAACTTCCAGGTTCACCTTGGCCACTCATTGCAAGAGGGAGTTCATGCAGCTCCCGACTCGTTGCACTTCAGCTCCAGGTGTGTGACGTGTTGCACCGCGTGGGTCAGCCAGTCGTCCTCGACTTCGAGGCCTTTGGCCAAGCAATGAAGGAGATCCGAGCCGCCGGCGCCGCCGGCCGATCTGAGAGCTCACTGAACTGCTTGGCAGTGCTGACCTGCGGGGATCTTGGGAACGGAGGCATTTTTCAGTGAATGGGAACGGAGGCCGCTTTAGGGGTTGCAAACATGTGCTCAAAAGCCATGGACGGGGAAAGACGCCGTTTTGGACGCCTAAAGACGCTGTTGATATAGAAGCCTAGCCTAAGATCGCATTTTTTGTTGGTTTCTGCCGGTTTCCGCTTGGTCACGACAAACAACGTTGGGAAAAGCTGCTGCATCGGCTTTTTTAATGTGCACATTTACCACATTTGGCCACCCCTGAAAGGGATATTTGCAGAATATTACCTGCATGACAATGTTTCCTATCATTGAGAGCAGGTTCACTTGAATGGTGTTATGACTAGTTCAATGTGTTGCCCGAAAAACAAGTCAACCTTTGACGTCTTCTCAGTTACATGAAAACGTTTCTTCATGGCCAATGGTTATGTTATGAAGACATGTTCCTTTGACATGACATGTGTCTTCGATTCACTTGGTCTCGCCCAGTGACCTGCCAGAAGCTGTCACAGGAGGCACAGGCAAGCTGGTCTAAATCCGCCGAGGCCTGCGGGCGTCATCAGCCAAGAAGATCCAAGAAGTCCGTGTTGTGTGGCTGAGTTGCGCTTCATTCAGTGTTTGCTCGGAAAGATTGTTGGCATATGTTGGCTTACTTTGTGAAGGCCCAAGCGGAAGAGCTTCGAAAGTGCTTCGAAGACTTCGACCCCGAAAAGAAAGGCGACTTGGAAGCACTGCGTGGGAGTTTTGGTTGACAGTTTCGTTTTTACTTCTTTGATTTCTTTGCGCCTGCATGTCCAATGTGACGTAAACTCTCAACTCTCCAAATCCGTTGGTTAATTCCACCTCCAGCTCTTTAGCTCTTTCAGAATGCCACGATTAGGGGCGATCGGAGCCATGTGCCGATCTGCTTCCCTTGACTTAGCTTATCTTGACGAGTCTTAGAGCACCTCCTGAAGCTTGGCCACCTTGTGGAGCCATCAAACCCGTGCCGAAGCCCCTCAAGCTTCGCGATTTTTGACTTTTGTTTGGTTTGCCGGTCCGCCACAGAATCCAGAGATTTCTTGCCAGCTCTTTTTCCCCAAAGAACCGGCAGATGCTAAGATCGTGGCAAGACCCTATCACAACTACATGGTGAATCAGAATCATAGTGACATATAATTCTCTCTCTCTATATATATATATATGTGTGAATATATATATATACCAATGATGCCTTGGACCTATGACATAGAGTTATGCAAGGATAAAACCAAATAATGTGCCCCACTCACCAGTCCTTTGTGTCGTCACCTTGTACACTGCTTTGTGTTTGTAGGGTTCATCATGGTTCATCTAAACCGCGTCATGAGGCTTTTTGCCACGGTCCACCATTGCCAAGATCATGTCTATCGACAGCCTGGCACTTTGGAGTCTGTGCACAGGCGTTGATGCATAGCGCCAACGGCGAGTTTTCGGAGACTCCTTGGACCAGTTTTGAAGTCCAAGCACTACCAAAGTCTGTCAATGAAGCAAGCTTATGTTATACTCAGAGCATTGTTGCATCCAAGAGTCAATTTGTTTGAACAGATTCCCTGGCCTGCCCACATCGGAATTCTAGCAGCGAGGGGCACATGAGATCCAAAAATGATTGGAGCCTAGTGAAGTCAAGTGTTGTTCCAAGTTATTCCAAGGCGGCTTCTTCTCTGAGAAGCAACTGGAGGAGATTACACTGATGGCTGGAGTTGTGGTTTCTCATATCTCAATGCCACACACACACAAGGAGTGCAATATTGTAATGATAACCTAGGTCATTTGATGGTTGGGATGGTTTTCTCTCGCATTCGGCGACTTGGCGGTCACTTGTGTCGTGTTGCACCATGCTGCGGACCCACGCATGCTGCGGGAAGACAGGACATGTTACGCGGAGTCCCATTGACCAGCTGCTTGGAGCAACTGCTTTTCAACTGAGTGCTGTTTGCGGACAACTGCCATCGATGTGCTTGCCCAAGCACAGGATGTGGCCTATCTATGGCCGTGTTAGTCACATTTTGTCACCCAGTTCCAACCCCCGAGCCCAAACTTCAAACAAGCGGTCCACCAATGCAAGCAGCATAGAATAATAATGAATGATATAGAACGCATAGAATTGATAAGTTTTGCATGTGTTGGAAGATCAAATGTTTGTTGAGCCCCCAGTAGTCAAGTTTGAGGAATAACTAAACACTTTCTCCAAATGATTCTAAAGTCAAGCTCCTGAATTGTTTGAGGGTAGTTTGTTTGAATCAGGTTTGTTTGCTTGATTTAATTTAAGTCAAGCCTTCGACTGTTGAGCTGTTGGTTCCCTTTAAGATCCTTGCTTAGTTGTTGCTTAGGCTTGAATATTGGAATGTTGACCCTGAAAACCTACTACCACCACCACTACCACTATCACTGAATCACTACCACCGCTCCTACTGTTGCTCATACTAGCATTACTTTTGCCTTCTACTGAGACTAAGAATGTGCTCGAAAGGGGTGTTTCTCTTGACTTTGCCCTAGGTTTTGGCTGGAAAGGGGGAGGGTTGACCATTTAAGAGCCATGTGACCCAAGATAGCCCTGAACTGCTATGCTTTAAAATGTCGTGCATGACAAGTTTTGGCATCGGCAACCACAACTTGTCCTGCCCACAGGGTCAGTGCACTTCATATCCACCACAAGTATCCAAAAGTCCCATGAACATGTGCTTGTTCTTTTCCTGGCCCCTCGTGGTCTCACTATGTTCACTTATGTTCACTTGGGGTCGAGGTGACGGGTATAGATATTCTGACCTGATCGAGAAGCTTCTGGATGAAGAGGCCAGATCTATGATAGAAAATTGTGAAAGTTTTGTGAAAGTTGCTTTGCACGCGTGAGTGTCCTGTTTGTGAATGTCCCTGTGTCCTGCAGGGCGCCAGTTGAACATGTGGACTGTTAGCTCAACCAAAGCACTCAAACTTGATTGTCAATGGTTTAGTGCACTTGGCCATGCTTGGAAGGCTAGGGCTAGAACCTGATGTGCCTCGGTAGTAGTTTAAGCCTTTGTTTGACTCCTAGCCCAGTGGCCGGCGCTTGGTAGCAGACCAATCCTCCCACGCGTTACATAGCGATGATTGCATGAACTTAGCAGCTCAAGCGGCTAGATGTTTGTTCGAACAAACCCAAGTCTAAAGCCCACTCAATTGCTGTTGCATGGGCGTTTTAAAACCAACCCAACAGGCTGCCAGAAAGGTCTCATCCAAGTTCGAGGATGCCGACCCGAAGCCGTGACTCACATGTTTTCGGTACTTGGTGCTCTCCAAGGGGTCGGATGTACGCCCCGTCCCTGGGTCTCGGCATCCTGGTGCGACCGTTTGTGCCAAGTGGAGGCCTTGTCATCCGACGTGAGCGAGGGATCGGACCAAAACGAGTCCGGTTTCGGTGAAGAAAGAGGGAAGGCCGGGATCGACCGGGTGGGTGGGCTGAAAGAGGCTGAAAGAGGGAAGCGTAAAAATGTGAAGACTTCTGGTGCTCTCACTGATCAGGAAGACTTGGTGTTCCAAGCTTGATTGTTCTCCCCAAGTCCGAAAGGTCGATCGGATTCAACATCCCAACACTGACCTAAAGACTTCTCAAGATCTCGAGACTCTTGGTGCAACTATATGTTGGCTCAGAGCCGCTCCCATGTCAGAGCTGAGCTTTTTGTGAGACCACAACCAAACGGCAGGCCTAGAAGCTACTGTAGTTAGTAGGAGTTCTGATGAGAGCTCGTCACAACTTGAAAAGTTGAAGCCCAGCATTGATTGGAGGTGTGTGTATGAGGTCGTTCATTTTTGTTATGTGCATTGTTCGTCCCTCCCCACTAACTATTACTCCTGCGGGCATCGCATGATATATCGTACCTAATATGTATCGCATGTGCACAGCTAGTTAGCTAGTTGGAACGTTTCACCCTGGCCAATAGTTGGGCTGCCTGACATTTTCAATTGAATGTGGATTGTCAGTTTTCCCATTGTGTGCATCAAAAGGACTTTTGGCCAGACGCCAAAGCATTCTTGAAATAAGCTGAACACAGATGCTGGATGAATTCAACCGCCAGAAGGTCCATTAAAGTTTGAATGCCTTCAAAGGGCCAAGAACGATGAGACACTCATTTATTCCCCACCCTTTGCCATTCAATGAGATCATTTTCAACATTGGTTGGAGCACCACAGAGTCCCAAACAGTGCTTTGAGGTCGCATTTGCTGTGGTACAGTGGTCCAGCTGCATTCCCGTTGGCATCAGGCCCAGCTTGAAAGGCAACTTGCAGAAGTGAGAGAAGATCACCAGGAACAGTCAGAGATGATGCAGGCAGTACCCCGCCATTCGGAGGAGGCTGAGAAAGTAAAGAGAATCCCAACACTGTTGACCGAGAGATGTCTCAAGACTTTTGGTGAAATTCTGTTGCTCAGTGGTGGATGATCAGCCCCTCCCCTGTCAGAGCTTAGTTCCATTTTCATGAGATCAATAGCGAACGTTTTGGACCTACTGACAGTTGACAGTTTATAGCAACAGAAACAGATTTCAGAAGATGCTTCGAACGTGGAGGCCACACTCAGAGAAGAGCTTGCCGAAGCAAGGCAGGCGAAGGAAGCTGCTGAGGCGCGGGCATTCTGTTCTTTAACTAAGTTCAACCATGTTCAACCGTTTCCGTCACTTTACCTGGCAGGTGTGAGAAGTTTTAGCAGGAACAAAGGAAGTCAACAGCACTGGCAGCAAAACACTAGTAGCATCTAGTAACAACAAACAGCAGCATACTACGATTAATGGCACACTCAACATGAAACGTTTGTGTGGTGCAGTGTGTTTGTTTCTTTGGGCCGCAGAAGCAAAACTGAACGGCTGACAAGCAACGGTCTCACTCAAACTGTCAGGACACATCCTTTCCCAGAAATGTTGGAATCATGTGTTCAATTGGTAGGTATGACGTTGCAAGGCAACTCCCCACCCAAATCCCAACATTGTAAACCCAGAGTCCCACAGATGTCAAGACTTTTTGTGCAAAAGACCAGTTATGCAAGTTGACAGGCCGCCGACCAAAGGCTTCCGTTGGCTGATGTGCTCCCTTGAACATGGGACTGTCCAGTCAAGAACCCTGAAAAGCGCACGTGTTCGACCAACTGACAATTGAAATTATGTGGCAACTGTAGCAACAGATTTCAGAAGATCGTTTGAACTCGGAGGCCAAACTTAGAGAAGAGCTTGCCGAAGCAAGGCAGGCGAAGGAAGCTGCTCAGGCTCGGGCATGTTGTTCTTTAAGTAAGGGCAACCGTTTCCGTCACTTTACGTGGCAGAAAGTTCAGCAATATTTCATGTTTTCCAAATGGCACCCGCAACAGCTAATGTTTAGACTAGTAATTCCTTACCTTGAAAAGACAAGCTGAATTGTTGACAAGTAAAGGACTCACTCAAAATGTCAGGACACATGCTTGGCAAGAAGTCTCCAACGTCATGTGTTCAATCGACATGTTGCTTTGAATATGGATTGCAGGTGTTTACTCCTGTGTGCCTTGAAAGCACTGATTCTGGTGTAGCTGAACAGGCACTAGCGGAGGAGAAAGCAAAACTGCTTGCGGAAGAGGCGTATCAGAGCTCCCGAGCTTGATTTGCGCAGGCCAAGCTCTAGGAGGTTGATTCAGAATCCCAACACGGTTGACCTATAGAGATGTCTCAAGACTGGTGAAATTAAGTAGCTCAGTGGTTGAAGAGCGGTCCAGAGCTCAGTATTTGACAAAACGAAATAGTGCAGGCCCAGTACTGATGCAGCAATGTTTTGTGCAAAGACAAGTTATGCTAGTTACTAGTTGACAGGCCGCTGACCAAAGGCTTCTGTTCGCTGATGTGCTCCGTTGAACATGGAACTGCACAGCGTTTCTCCAAAGGTCTAAAGGTCCCCGAATAGTGAACGTTTTGAGTTTTTTGTGTAGCAACAGATTTCAGCAGATCGTTTGAACTCGGAGGCCACACTTAGAGAAGAGCTTGCCGAAGCAAGGCAGGCGAAGGAAGCTGCTCAGGCTCGGGCATTTTGTTCTTTAAGTACGTGCAACCGTTTCCGTCACTTTACGTGGGAGGTGTGACAGAGTTGAGCAGCAATGCAACGGCAATCAACGCAGCAACACTAGCAATCAAAAACAACAACGGCAGCAGCAACAGCACATGTTTAATCAATGTAATATCAATTACCTTCACCAACCATAACCTTTAAAAATATAGGTTTCAATGAAAACCCGATGTTTGCAGACAAAACCCGATGTTTTGATTTTTGAGGGTTTTTGAGAATCCGCCCATCCTCAGCCACGCGCCTCAAAGACGTTTGCGAACTTTTCTTCACCCATGCGACCCTGCGGTGAACTATGCTATCTGATGGATCCTTGGCTTGATACCGGAGGGAAGTGGTTTCCGGATACTTTCAGTTCATTAAGTTGTAAACGATGCAGCTCAACTCCTTCAACCCCCTCACCGGATCAAGTATTTAGCTTTGATGAAGTGATGGTACGCGCTTTGCAAGTACCGATCCATAATTCGGTGCAACACAGGCGTTTGGGCCGTTACACGACGACTCAGCCTCGCAGGTCTTCCGATAAAGTCTTCGGAAGGCTGACAGGAAGTACCCAAAGGGTTGACCCCGCATACCCCACGCTGATGTGCTTGGTGGAGGTCAACCATAAAATGATGAAGGAGGTGTATCTTGGGTTGAAAAATGAACAAACACCGGCGCATTTGTTTGGCCATTGTAGCCATTTGGGAATACCGTCTTAGAAAAAGGAAACCAAGCTCTGCCACAAGCTTGCACTCCCCAGGCTCCAGCCACAGGCTTGAACGGTAAAGCAACCTGCTGCACCTTTGGATGGCATGGCATGCTTCGGCTGCCAAGCCAAGCAAAGGTTGATGGGGGAAGCTGTCACGGTTGAAACGCGCTTCCACGTATTCCATGAGCACCGTGCTCAGGGCACCTTTGTGCCAGGATCCGGTCGGATAAGTGCTTGTGGTTTCCCAAGAGATCGATTCCTTCGAGATTTTTGATACAAAGGCTCTTCTCGAATTACGATGGCACCATGACTTGAAGTCCTGACTGAGTGCAGCAAAACGCTCATCGATTTGTCCATGTGCTTCCTCTTCGCTGAGTAGTGCAAGGACGGATCCTAGATAATGCTTGAGCACTCCGAGATGCATGGCGTGAAACCAATCGTAGCACCAAATGCTCGCCTCCTTTCCTGGCTCGTGTAAAAGGTGTGTCGCAAACGGAGACGGCGTCAAAAATGGGTTCTGAACATGTTCCGTTGCAGCCCAAGTAGGGCGACGAGTCTCAATTTGTTCAAACGGGCACTGTGTTTGTCCCGCTTGGCAGCGATGACAAATGCCAACAGGTGGTGTCCGAACTGTGACCCGCTTCTGTATATTGTTGAACGACCTTGAGAATCCAGCGCATTTGTGTAGAAATGGCCAATCGCCAATTATACCAACGACAACTCCCCAAAAACGTCCGCCCTGCGGGTTTGCAACGCCGACTTCCCACATGAAACGTGCTTCCTCAGCAACCGATTCCATGAGGAGCTGCCACGTCTCAGCATGTTCATCGGAATAATCTCGCTTTCGCAGGCTTGTGATCAGGAACCTGTTCGTGAAGGTATGGCCCTCAAAGTTAACCTCCATTCTTGCCCAAGAATTTTTCAAGCCACGACCACGACTAGATTGATTTGCTTTTGCAAAGCCCCGCCCAAGCATGCTGTGGAATGAAAATACAAAATGGGCGCCATGGCGCCGTCCACGCCCCTCGTCCCCGTGCAACAGCAATGGGATGGCCCGTTTCAAGACCAGCGTTCCCAATGACGCCTGCTGAAAGATTTGGTGATTTGGATATAGCCTGGCAAAGTTTCGCCAGAAGGCACTGAGTATTGACTCCTCCCTCGATGCGTGCTGCTTCTGCAGCCCATGCAATATGTGCATGCAAGAGTTGGATGCCAAGAACTCAAACCAATCTCGGATTCTAAGGATGGGAATGTGCGGAAACTTTCCCAATTGAGACCTTTTCACTCCCAGCGACAGTTCGTACTTGTTCACTAGGACACGGCGGCAATCCCTTTCCGGATTTGCGCTGCTGCAGCGCGCTATATCCAACAAACCACCTGATGTTTGCGCAGCCTTTGCGCCTACATCAGCCACAAAGTCACGAGCTGCAGCGATGGCAGAGGTGCATGAGGCCTTGGCCGGCCAACCGGTTAAATTTACCAAAGAACGTCCGACCTATAGAACCTAAGTCCCACGAGTTCGTCTCACATGGAAATTAGCAAGCGCCCTGAGAGTGCAAGAGCGTTGAACTAGAACTCAAAGTTAAGTTGTAGCTTTTTCAAAACTTCTGTGCAAATGCAAAGTTCCATGGCTGCCCGTGTTTGGTTCACACGCAGCGTCGAATTGTTTGTACTCAATTGATCTTAATTTACCTAACCCGTATTGGCTCTGATGGCCTGACCGGGGGAGGGTGCTTAAAAGACCTGTACACAACATATGTGCTGCACTGGCTGTCATCCGAGGAGTTGGATGGCATCATCACACTGTCACCGCCGGCTTTGATGTTCCTGCAGCCAGGCTTACCTGAGCGAAGGGATGCGGTGCTCTAAGGGGTTTTTAGTGCCGAGGGACCATCCATTTACAAAGCCCCAAAGGGGACTGCTTCATTTGTTGAAAAAAGATAGAAAACATGCACTGAAACTTGGACCAGGTGCCTCGAAACATGTCGATCAAACAAGCTTCTAACATTGCAGGCCCCGAAGCTTCCGTAGATTCGAACAGGACTACCATGTTGGACCACTTGTCCGGGTCGAACTTGTACCCGTAGATGGTGTTGGACCAGCGCCACAACGGATTGTGGCTGTAACCAATTTTGAAAATCATCGGTTGGTTCTTCTGGAACAGAGTCAGCATCACAGATTTGGCATGTTGGAGAACCCTACCAGCCGTGACGCCTGGGGGCGGGAGCTTGTAGTCTAGAAATGCCAAGTCATCACACGGGCTATCGAAGCGAACACTTGATGGTGTTGTAGCCGAACCAGTTGGTGAAGACGATCTTGACATGCAGTGTGTTTGTTTGGAAGATAGCTTGTTCCCTGCGAACATGGAACTTTGTTCTTCCCAACAGCTCATGCAATTCCCACGATGCACCGCCTTCCCAGGCCCAGTGTCAGAAGGACTTCCTGGTGATTGGCCTCCGCCTCTTGTCCATGGAAAGGGTTGCAAGCTGTCCTTGAATTCAAGCGGGGTGGAACTGGGAGGGTTGAACAGGTTCGTGGAACATGACATTGAAGGCAGTTGAAGCCAAGACTCTGTCCGATGACACGTAAGTAGGTCCCAGAGTTCATCATACACACTTTCATTGCTGTCATCGCCCATGATGGGGCCAGGTTTGCAATTAACAAAGGAGCTTGAACAAAAAAACGGCAATGCTCAAAGGTCTTGCAAACCACTCCCATGCACCAATTAAGCTGTCAGTGTCCACCGAAGAGTTTTGAGCGCTGGACTCCATCACCAATCCTTTTCGAGAAGCCTTTGACAACGTTGCCCGGCTTCGGACCTGGCCAACGCAACCCAACTCAGTACGACAGAACGAACCGATTCTATCAAGCTCAAAGTGGAAGGCTGTGACTCTCCCTTGCAGCACGGCAGGCCGCAGCATGTCAGGTGTATTTTTGGCTGTGCGTAGCTCGAATACCCCGCTAATTGAACTTGAAAGGTTCCAGCTTTCAACCACCACCTGTCAAAATGATTGTGGTTCCACAATCTTCGTACCCGCTGGAAAGAAAATGCATACAGCGTGTTCAGTTGCTCCCAGAGTCGGAAACCACTTTTTCGATCAACATATATAATCAAAACGAGACAAACATGAATGATGAGGAACGAAAGCAGAGCAACACGCTGCCTCTTGCTAAAATGGCAGGCCCTCACTTGCGAGCGCGCTTGGACTCAGGTTCTTCCGGTACATCTGTTCCTTTCCCTTTCTTTTCCTTCTTGGTTGTTTTTCCAGGTTTTGCTTTCTTTTCCTTCTTTTCCTTCTTGTCCTTCTTGCCATTTGTGTCCGTGCCATCGGTCTTGTCATAGTACTTCTTTTGGCTCCTGGAGCACTTTGAGTCGGGCATGTTTGGGGACTTGGAATGCAATTCTTCCAAGAGAGGTCAAGAGGGCACATGATACAGACGGTAAGCAAAAGCATGCAACTCAGGTTTGTTCGAGATGCGGCTGCTCCTGATCCTGATTTCTGCCGCAGCTGCTTTGGAGCACCTCGTTCGTGCGAGAGGCTAGGCCGTCGGCTATAGGCCAGAAATGTTAGTGGTCCACTTTGTATGTGGTCAGAGAAACAAAGACAGGCACCAAGAAAAGGACTAATAAGGACGTTCCTGATTGAGTGACTGACCGAACACTCCCCCCCGGTGACATCTTGGAGTCCACACGCCATTGTTGCAGTTTTCATTTTGCCCTCAGCAGCAGTGTAGAACCTTGGTGATAAAGGACCTACATGGTACCACTCACACAACCAAAGAACTCTTCCAAGTGTAGGAGTCCTTTTCGGCAAGGAACGACTCCGTGAAGAAGCCATGAGCCTCCCCCGTAACCCAAACATCCTGACAGCCATCAAACTCCTTGTCCAGGCTCACCACCTCCTTGTTCAAGATCTCGACTGACCTGGGCCAACGATCCGTTTGACGCCTATATCGACGCTCCGCTGCACGCGAAAGGATTTAGGGTGGCTGCTTGGAGGCTTGCTCATCGCTGCCATACTTTGTTTTGAGTTCTCTGATCAACGATCGCAACTTCCCTGTTTTGCTCATGAGGCTGTCCATGAATTTCTTGAACCGATCTTTCGTCTGGCAGGGACAAATGGTAGAAACATTCAGTCAAATTACCAGATACTGAATGAACAGTGCATTCTGTTTCTATGTTTTGTACCTGACCTACCCATACTTGTTCTCGGCATTGGGGCCAAGATCAGCTGCTTTGGTGACCTCGGCCTTACGCCGACCAT